CATAAGGGTTCCTTGATATATCATCCAGTCATTGGCAGACAGTCGTTAAGCAATCCCTTACCAAATTTGCCATATGTCACGAATGACTCGCCAATCAACGTTGATCGCCAGAACTTCGTTGATTGTATTGTTGGGTTGGTAAAAGATTCAATGAGGCCAAATCTTGTGAGACGTTTTAGTGAAACGTTCGGTAAAAGAGAGCATTGTGCGCGTGTATATTTTTTGGTTTAGTGCACGTAGTTATTAGAAATCTGTGTGATGTACTATTCATGAATACCAAAAGTAGCATTTACTTGGTAATTCCGTGGAACTACGGAATTCTTTAATTGTTAGCATCTTATTTTATTTCTGAACTGTGTTTAGTCTTATTGTTCGAAAGTGGCTGGCACGGCGTTTGATCAATGGCGAAAATGGCACGGTGGGCAGGGGAATTATAAACAGGACGAGCGCGTATGTGCGTGCGATCGCCTCCCATTCAGCAATTATGTACAACAACCTTTTGGACCCGTTCCAGCGAGTCATGATTCAAGCGGTTGTGATTCATTCATTGTTGTTTTAATGGTAAAATATTGCGTTTTCCTCGCCCCCGGGGTCTTGACGAGGCGCCCCTCAGCGCCGACCTGTTATTTTTGAACGGGGCCTCTAATGGAAAGCACATTCACATTCATTAAAGAAGGGAAAAAGACCACCTTTGAACTCTCTCGGATCGACTGCGTAAACAGCTGTCTTTTATTCGTGGAAAAATAAATCCTCTCTACCCCTTTCCAGACTATTTTTAAAGATAAATGCTGTTCAGACACGTCGTCCGAAAACACGAAATTTTCTATTAACGCCAAGATGAATTAATCGCCATTTTCGTTATACGCACGACCGTTTTAAACACCATTGTCTGTAAAAATAATTAAATACATAGTAACTAGTTTCAATTCTTTACTATTAATATGAAATTTATTCATAAACATTTTTGAAGGATTGTGAGTTGTCTTCTTGTGATCTTCGGGGTGAACTACCGTCCCGTACTACCGTCGTCTTCATCCTTCCTGGTGCGCTTAGTTTTGATCTGTCAGGCGGTTTTCGGCCATCAATGTTTGCTTCGTTAGACAGACCAAAACTTACCAGGATTGGCGTACGAAAATGATCAGGAATGACAATCGTCACCAATTCGGATTCCGCTGCTATTCGACTTTTCACCCCTCCGCGTTATCGACACCATCGCCACGGTGTTGCTTGACATATCCTAGGCCTTTGAACGAGTATGGGATGAAGAAAGCTTGTAAAAGCCACAGAACATGCTTCCATTTACACACCATCTTATCCTCCAATCCTTCCTAGCAAACCGATACTTCCGAGTAACCCAAGGCACCTCTTCCGTATTTTTCTCATTTTGCTTTTCTCCCTTTTACTCCCTCTTTACAACTGATCTCCATTGTATTCCAACACCTTAACATTCACATAAGCCGATGACACGGCAATCCTCTCCATCAATTTTGATCCTGTTACTTCTAACTGCAACCTCCATTCCCATCTTAATATGGTTAAATCCTGTCTTCGACAGTAGAGAATTAACATAAATGATCAAAAACCTAAATACATAGTTTTCACCCTTAATCGCAAAACTCCTACCTGTCTGTACGGTACCCCAATTCCTCCAGCGAATGCATGATATACGATATTTTAAATTTTACTTTGACAAAAAACTGAAATTCTCACACGACTATACGAACCGCCCTAATTTGGACTTCAACTTTATAGGACAGCCAAGCTTAATCTTAATAAAATCCAATCTCTACAATCCAAAATCCTTCGCACATTTCTACGTCACCAATCGTACAATATCCACTCGGATCAACATACCATACGTTTCAAACCTGGCCCACTCCCGCTACAATAAATCCAGACTATCCTCTCTTGGCAACCCATTAATTCGAAACTTGCTCAACCCTTCCTTCCAACCCTCATAGAAGACTGAAGCGCATGTAGCTCGAGACCATCTGATTGTGTAACTTCGGCAACTCTGGGTCTGACTTCATGCCATAATGCCCAGTTACGGCCACTTCCACTCGATGATGGCCATTCAAATCAATCGAGCCAGATATGTAAATGTGTATGCGCGTGTATATCTGTATGTTCTTGCTCTTTTTGTTGTTGGAATTTTCTATGTAGCTGTAAAATAAAAAAATAAAAAATGAAATAGTCTAAATCCAGACCTAAAATTTAACTTTTCTCTCGTCCTTTCATTTTTGAAATTGGATATATTTTGGCCACTTGCTGAAAAATTTTTAAAATAAAAATTGTAAAGAAATATCTTAGTGTTTTCTTTTATATACTAAGCACGGTTTCGCCCTCGGGATATCAATCTATTTTTTTTAACGTTCAGTATGAAAGTTTTTCTTCGTTTTATGGTTTTTCTTTTTATATAGAATTATTTTCCAAGGGAATGCCGTTTGGGAGATAGGAGAATAAAAGCACATTGTCGTCGGATTACGGCAGACAATGGGTTTCGGTGGGTTTTCACCGTTCTTGGATCCCCCATCCCCCATCCCATGAAGGTATCGGGCCACCGCATCCTCGTCGGCTTCATATGAGATCATCCCCCTCGGCGGGCGTCTCGTTATTCTGTGGGGCCCGTTTTTCTCACTTATTGCCCAAATGCGTTTACCGCTCCTGTGCCTTTTCCCATAAGGAATCCCATATCCTGGGGATGACGCCTTCCTACTTCTACGACCGGCAATGCAATAACTTACGCGAGAATGGTTTTGAGAAGGAAAAAGAAAAACGTTAATATCATCGACATTTTTTCTTAAAAAAAAAAAAAAAAAACACATCCCTTAATAAAAAGGCGTCTAAATTTTAAATTAAACCAATCACCTCCTTCATCTAGGTACGATTGGAGTTAATCTTTGATGCTAATTACAATGAATGACCCAGGCAATTTAAGTAAATTTGAGATGACAAAGTGCTTTTGTATATTGATAGAATAAATTTAATTAAAAAAATAAAAATATTTAAAATTTAAAATATTTAAAAAAATATATTACTTAATTGAATTTACAAAAATATCAGTTTTGAGGGGGTCAGGATTTGTTTTAAAAAGTCTTTTGTAAGTAGTTTCTTTGTATATTGATAGAATAAGTTTAATTAAAAAATAAAAATATTTAAAATATTTAAAAAATTATATACTACTTAATTGAATTTACAAAAATATCAGTTTTGAGGGGGGTCAGGATTTGTTTTAAAAAGTCTTTTGTAAGTTGTTTCTTTGTATATTGATAGAATAAGTTTAATTAAAAAATAAAAATATTTAAAATATTTAAAAAATTATATACTACTTAATTGAATTTACAAAAATATCAGTTTTGAGGGGGTCAGGATTTGTTTTAAAAAGTCTTTTGTAAGTTGTTTCTTTGTATATTGATAGAATAAGTTTAATTAAAAAATAAAAATATTTAAAAAATATATAATTACTCTCACGATATCTGAATAACTATAATTACTTAATTGAATTTACAAAAATATCAGTTTTGAGGGGGGTCAGGATTTGTTTTAAAAAGTCTTTTGTAAGTTCTAAGTAAGCATACTATTTTTCTAAATCGTATGTATAAAATAGCTTATGAAATTTCCTCCCATGGTTTGCGACCTATTGTTTCATAGTTTCCTATCATACTGGTCTTCCTTGCTGATTTTTGTAGTTCAGACCAGTTTTGACATTTCTTTACCTTCAGATTTTGGGTGATATGGTTGAGTCAGAGCATCCACAAATATCCAAACACTGAAGATGGTGAAATGCCGAAACATACCTGAATTAACAAAAATCAGTGTGGATAGGTGGACACGGAACTATCAAACAATATAAAATAGGTGTATGAAAAAATCAAAAAATTATACTCATATTTTAGTATTGAACTAAATTATTCACCTAAATCCCAATTTGTAGTCAGTTCCAGTCCAGATGTTCATAATTTTGGTCAACTTATCCTTTCTTTATTACAATAAGTTGCAACAAAAACCAATTTAACATAAAATACATAAGTAAATATGATTTTGTTATTCAAATTTCATTGAGTGATTCTAGAATGGGAAACGCCAGTTTAACTTGATTTATTTGGTGCTAAGACACTAAGCCATCTCAGTTTGAGGAATGCGACTTGTGGGTGGTCGAGCCGATCAATTGGCAGATTCTTCCCATTTTGAATGGGTCGAATGAACCGCGAAACAAAGCTGTATACCTGGGCGACTTGGAAAACAGTTGTTCTCCACTTAAATCCCTGTACATCTGCCGAAATATGATTGACAGCCCAGCCTCTGCTCCTTGGGTATCATAATTCATAATAGGCCCTAGCCTATACAAATACGAGTAAAAAAAGAAATTCATCGATCTGCGTTGCGCAGCTCTGCCTGATGGGTGCGTAGCTTAAGGGGACGCACTTACGTTCCACAAAAGAACAGTTGGCGTCGGTCGTTTCTAGCGGCAGCTTCACGTATAATCTCACGGTGCTGATTGATACCTTAAAAACTTTTTTGGAAAAATCTGACTGTAGTCTTAATTTTATTGTGATAAACACAGAACAATGGTATTGTATTCCAATCTGACTGAATTAAATTTTTAAAAGGATTTCTACTTAACATTGCTTTCCTGGCCTATTCTTTTCAAGATAGGGCCATTAGAAATAATAAGTGCATTGAGCTTTAAAATATGAAAACTAATCTCTATTGACAGCATCTTTACCTGATCTTTTGTCGATTCCTTACAGTGTTTTCATTTCTGCTTTATTATTTCCTTCTAGAAATTCTTGGTTGCTTTCAATCTCTTTATTGATCGATGCAAGGGACCAAAATGGTCGATTGGCTTCTACCTCTCCATCTTTGCATCTCCATCATTTTGTTTAATAGGTCTTCTTTGTGACTAATCGATATTCCATTTCTCCTGTTAGAGAATTGATTACTTACATATTTATTTAGTAATTACACTTAATTAATATTCAAACAATTTTGTGTTTCAGTTGTGTTGGGATGAGGAAAAACAGTGAAGTGGGGGCACCCCCTGGCCCAAGATGAGTATGTTTCATCATAATGCACCGCGCCCGCCAGTAGTTCCAGGTGAATTAGAAAAAACATTTCAAAATGCCCCATAAAAATTGTATGACACTTCTCTACTTACCCATTATCATTTTTTAGGTGAGGAAACTGAGGGAATCGAGAACAAAATAGTTAACGTGGGAGTTGTTAAAGCCCACAATCCAGCTTTAACACCTCGTACATCTAGTCTATACCAACATTCCATTAATGGTAACTACGACAGTTTAGAAGCACTTATATGCAAGCATTTGCATATTTCTGAGCACATAGTATTGTTTTGCCATTCTTATTTTGAGGCCTTTGAGAAAATGCCACTAGGCATTCTGGAACATATTCATTCCATTTATCTGAGCCAAAGTTGTTTTTTTATTATACTTCAAATCAGTTTCATTTTTCACAGAATTGTTATTTGTTTTAGATGGAATTGCACCTCTTGGTTTTGAACCAGAAGGAAGTAGTGGGTCTCCACACTGTGGTGAACAAAGCTCCATGCTGTGTGGAGACATTCGTCCTCATTGCGGTAACCATTCTCCACCAGGTTATCTCAAATGGGCTAGAAATCTACCATCCCTTCTGGCCGATCCGGCCGGCGTGGAGCTTTTCAGGCAATATCTCCACCAAGAGGGAAAATCGCACAGTGACGCACTTGACTTCTGGTTCGCCTGCGAGGGCCTCCACAAGCAGTCCGACCCCGACCGGGTTACACAGTTTGTCAAAGTTATTTATAGGAGATTCTTTATTAAGACCCAGTTAATGGGCATTAGCGAATCTCATCGTAAGGCTGTGCATAGAAGGCTCAAAGACTCTAACTCAATATGTGACAAGTCAGTGTTTGACAGTACGCAGGCTCAGATCGAGGCCCTCATCACTGAAACGACCTATCCTAATTTCCTTAAGTCTGAGCTCTACCTCAACCATGTACAGTCCATGCAGAACGGATCTGGGTACTTTCAAAATACTTTAAAAAGTACTATAGTAAACAACTGGACAAACAATTAATTAAAGGTCTTTATAGGGAGAGTTCTGGTAGCAGTGAACAGGGTATGCACAGCGGTGCTAACCCATTGATGCTAGCAACACTCCATGAAGACCAAATACTGGATACTTCTGCTAATCCATCATTTGGTCCACTTACCAAAGATATGCTTATTTTCACACAACGACGAAGAGCTTCAGAGACCTCCAAACCAGAAGTTTTTGCTGGGTAAGCAACATTCACATTTACAATTATGATTTTTTAAATTTTTTATTTATTTAATTTTACTTTTTTTAAATTTTTTTTTTTACTTTTTTTTTGGTTTGATGCTTTCAAGGATTGTGTTATTTTTAGTCAAACTGCATTTGATTTTTTAAATGTGCACACGTTGCTTTAAATATAAAATTTTAAAAACTAAAACACATTTTTAAATAAATTTGTGGCTTCATTGGCTTTAACAAAGACATAAATTTATGGCCCGTTATTTCATTAAATATTGTTTTAATTGAGACTAGTGCAATTCGAGCATTACATAAGAAACAATGATAATAAGCATTGCATTTTCGTGAATTTGTAGCTGCATAAAAGATTTATTTTATAATTTAAAATTTAATTTTTTGATCGATTTGATTAATTAAAATTTCTCAATAAACATCAGAGAGTTAAGTAAGTTTTGTTGAATGGTTTTAATTTTGGTATGGGGTAATGTTTTTGCATGTTTGTTGAACTTTGTTTTCACTCGTATCTCAAAATCGTGAAAGGTGCCCTGTCTCCCTTACAAAAAAATTAAATTAAGTTTTAATGTTATGCCAAAGCCATTTTTTTAATTTGTGCTAAATGTGAAATGCATGGCAAAAAAGTGTAGCAATAGCAGTAGCATCAATCCACAAAAAAAGCCCAAATTTTTGTTAGCACTTGGATGTGATGTGTGTTTTTGCATGTAGTATGTTCTTGTATCCTGGAAAGGCTGGTCCTGGACGTGCCTACTCATCATACAACCCGGTTTCCAGGCAAGATTCAGAATTGCAATCTCTTAGTTCAGACGCACGGACAGAGTCGGACAACATGTCACTCACCGATAGCTCTGTGTAAGTTCTGTTTGATTAGATTGCACACATCACCTAAACAATTTGAACTAAAAATATTTATCCTGTCGAGCCGAGCTATAATTTTATTTTGACTCATCGATTTCTTTTTGTAGGGATGGTAGGCCGTTCAACGCGAAGATGACAAGAAAACAGTTTCAGAAGCATTGCAGACAAGTCAAGGAATCTGCGAATCTTAATAGAGATCCATACATGCATCATATCGTCATCCCACGAACCCAGCGTATGCAGAAGGACCAGGTAAAAATAATTGACTTTACATTACAGACAGGCTTCTTTGCTTCATTTTTTTTATTTATTATTTTAATGATTTCACAAACTTTTAATGTGAATAGAAGTACAATCGAAAAATAATTTTGGTAATCAGAGCGTGTGCTCAAGTTCAATGCTAAATTTCGATATCACCACGCAGTTTGTAAACAAACATGTGGCCTTGAGTCATATCAAAACAATTCTTTTGTTCATTTTTTTTTACTTTCATATCTCACAGTTGTTCTTGCTCTATGTTCGTTTAACAGTTTTGTAGTTTTAATTAGTTTGAACCAGCATAAAAACTAAAGCAGGTGACAGACATACCAAAGGAAAGGAAATTGAAATATTCATTTATAAAACCCACCTGATTTTGTTCTGTTTATGAATTACTAGTTGAATATAATTGTCATTTTCTATTTGCTTATTAATAACGTTGATTATTATTGAGCTGCAGCATTCCACTTATAGATAGATAACAGTGGAGAAACTGATAAAAATGTCGTCGATAACTGGAGAATAATCAATTAATTGTTCAATGTAGTACAAAATACTGAAAAATCTAGGACTGAAAAAAACAAAAATGATTACTAAATTTCCAACCTATTCATCTTCAGACAGTGATAACGATCCTTTCGAATTTTTTATACAGCTTAAAAAACCTTATTTTGCAAAGGTTTATATTTAGTTCAATTAGTTAATTGTATATATTGTTCATATATTTTTATTTTCTGTTATTTCAAGGTACATCCCATGAAGCCTGAACGATTTGCTGCTATTCTAATTGAAAAATTGGAAAGTGTGAAACGAAGTCAGGATGTACAAGAAAAATTAGCGCACAAACTTTTAGAGGTAGGCTTAATAATAAAAAAAAAATAAAATAAAAAGAATAGATATATATAAAAGGGAAAATTTCACTCAATGATATTTTCAGGCAGAAGACGGTGCCCCATCTGCAAAGAGTCTGGCAGATGCTATCAGGGAAAGGTTCCAAGTGGAAGATGACAACGATCAGGACATTTTAGGTAATTTACATTTGACTATTACAATTGGTTGAACATGAGAAAAACTGATTTTTTTTATAATTGCAGATCAGCATGTTTCAAGAGTTTGGTCCGATCAGACCCCTTCAAGGACACCAGGGCTTACCTCGCCACGGCCAAAATCGCCCGACCCACTAAGAAGGAATCGTGCTGTTCCACCAACGATTAATAAGGTACTTAAAAAAACAAAGTCTACAAGCTTTTCATACCTATTTACGTCTTAAACGTTTATTTTGTTCCTCAGTTTTCTTTATTAATCGGATTATTCTTGGATTTAGAATAGAGGTATTTTTGTTTGTTTTGGTTGAATTTTCTTCCCCACTGCCAACTTTTTTTTTTCACTTTTCAAAATTTAAATTAGTAGTAGTTAGTTTTGTATTGATTTTATTATGTGTTTTAAAGAATCTTTAGCATTATTTTCCTTCTTTCATTACAGTTTATTTTATTGATAATAAGTCAGGCTTTGGGATTTTCAAAATTTAACCAATTTAATCATTTCAGATTTGTGTGAGTGGAGGCGGATCAGCAATGGCGGTCAGCTACTCTCAAAACCCTTATACGATATCTCACCCGTACCAGGCAAGATTGTACAATTCGAGGCATGTTCGTAAAGACAAGGTAATAAATACATTTACCCTCTGTCTGCTGGTTAGATAATTATTCAGATTGGTGGTTTTTCTGAGAATGCAAAGCTGGCTCAAAACCAAAATTTAAAAAAAATAAAATATAGAAAACGATACGTATGCCCAAAATACCTTAAAAAAATTGTTCAATACTGACTCCCCCTCCAAAAAAAGAAAAAACCAATAGCCATCACATCTTATCAAAATTGAGTTATGCTTTATTATTGTTATATTAAACAATTAAATATAAAGAACTAGGGATGTAATAGCTGTTTTAAAAAGAACAGTGTACTATATCACTCCAAATCTATGGTGAATTTTGCATATTAAAAAATAAAAAATAAAAAAATAAATAAATATTGTATATATATTGTTGCAAAATGGCATACTATTTGTTGAATTGGATAGAGTAAAGAACTTGAATTTTCAAATTGCAGGATATTTTTTCAACCTTCAGCTCAGATTCAGGGAACGTCCACGATTTTCCAGAAAGTATCGATCAAAAGTTGCATATGCCAAAGAGTAAATCGATGCCCGATTATGCTGAATCGACTGATTCTTCTCTTCCAAGTAAGTTCATTTTAATATTGTATCAATTTTTCAATTATTATTTTTTTAATTTGGAGTACCACTTAATATTGTAATTTTACAGGCCACGATGGTAGATTTATAAGAGGTAGTCGAGAATGGTTTGCAAGCAGTCGGAAATACAATAAAAAGCCTGAGTTAACAGATAGTGGAGTGAGTGTTGTTTCTGAGTCTGCATCGAGTCATAGTGCCCTCTTATCGAATAAAGACAAGTAATAAAGAAATCCATTCAAAATAAAAAAAATGAAAGTAATAAAAATAATTTTTTTTTTTTTAAATTTATTAGCAGGGTCATGTCGTGGTTGATAGAAAGCGACAGGACAGGCTGTTGTTCTCATTCAGAGCGAGATTCAGAACGGGCTTCTTCTTGCAGTGGAGGATCTAGATACGATGGGAAACACCATGCACGCCCGAACCCAGTCAGGTATACAAGTTCCTCCCGCTGGTCTTAAGCTGTTTTTGTTTAGAACTTAAACTTATTATCAATTTAGGGGCAGAAGATCACCACCATCAGGGCCAGCTCAACCGTTCATTGCAGATCCGAGTATGCCTCCTCTCCCATCTCCGCACACGCCTACACAACTCGATGAGGCAAGGAGGAGATTGGAAGATCAAGCCCGGTGCAAACAAAATCGGCAAAGGTAAAGGACATAAATTTTTTAAAATTGTGTACTAAACTCAAAATAACAACAAAATTCATATCATCGATCTACCTTCTAATAGCTAATTGTTAGATTATTAACACGTTGACTGAGGTTGTTGATGTTCTTTATTTTCTGGTGCGGGCGATAACAGCCTGTCAACTTGGCCATTGTTATTTTAAACCAATTAATTCAGTGCAGGGTGGACAGGACTGCAGTCAACGTGTCAAGTGATTTCATGTCAATAATATGTATGCAGTAATTACATTGTCTGATCGTTGTGGTCTGCCTATGAATTGTTTTGTCAGGCATGTTTTGACCTTTTCACTATCAGTAAGTTCTTTTTGAACATTGGTGATCATAAAAACGATCGGAAATCAAGTTACAAATTCATCACTGCACATTCAAGAGGAAGTCTTCAAAAGATCAACATCGGTGTAAATAGTCCTTAATGAAACATGCATGACAAATGTGGAGGAGCTTTTTTATTCACTGCATGCTGCATATTTTAAGTTTAGAAAGATGAAATTTTTTTATTTACTTTCTTTCAAGCAGATAAAAGATAATACAAATATGAGAAAGTCTTACTTGTGGCATATTTGTGGTTTCCATGTTGTTAATTATGAAGCAAATAATAGCAATGTTTTGGGTGTGTGCATAAGTTTTTTTCACTTATCAGAAAAAAAGTCAAACTTTCCAAATATAAAATTATTTACATTTTTAATACAAAACAATTTCCTTCATTTTGGTAGTATTGCCGTCTGGTGATTAGTGACCGTTAGTGGATGATTATTTGGAAATTGTGAGATGCGGTCTGGTGTGATGAAGGTTTCAGAAAAACATTTTTCGATCTTTATTGAGATCATCTTCAGGGCCTGGGATTTACAAACATTTTTAAATTTAACAAATACATGTAGGATGTGGAAAAAAGTGAATTTATACAATGCAAAATAATATTTTTTTTATTCAATCAAAGTATTTATATTCACTCAAAGTGTTTGTTTTCTGTGTGAGTAGAAATACTTTGAATATAAAAAATATTTTTTGAATTGTATAAATTGACTTTTTTCCACATCCTACATGTATTTGTTAAATTTAAACAATGTTTGTAAATCCCAGGCCCTGAAGATGATCTCAGTAAAGATCGAAACGTTGGCACGATAAAGAAAACGTTTTCTGAAACCTACAGCACACCAGACCGCATCTCACAATTTCCGAATAAGTATTGCCAACATTCTGGTAATAGAAAATATCCTCTTTTTGTAGAAGTCTGATGAGTTGAATGAAAAGAAATCTATTCATATATTATATTATTACTATTCATATATGTATTTTCAGCATGTTTTCGTTCAAAAATTCCCTACATTTTAAGCTATCTAGGGAGAGGAATAAGTAAAAATGAGAAGGGGCAAGATCTGGAAAGTGAGGAACTGTTGCCAACGTAACTATGCAATTTTACTCTTTGAAAGTGCAGCTGCGTGCAACTTGGCGTGTGTCGTGGTGAAAAACAGCACCTCTGTTCGCCAAGGCTGCCGGGCATTTTTTTGTGCACAGCATACCTCTGACAGAAAGGTTTGATTGTGTGGCATCGGTTCCCAGTGAATATCCCACCAGATGATTGGACCTTATGATGATGCAATACTGCTCTTAATGTCAATAGCATCATTTTATTATTTTATTCTTCTTGCAAACAGTCTTGGTTTTGTTCCGAACCAACTTCTAATCCTTAATCCAAATAGGAAATGAAACCTTCCAATTCATAGTTTTTTCTTACTAAATTCCATCCAAAATTTGACAGTACATTACTCAGATATTATAGTTTCCTATAGAATTAAGTAAATGGAAGGAGAAAAACAATGCTGTACGCAATTGAAAATTTATTTTTCAAAAAAGTCTTCATTATGCATATTAAAATATAATCCCCCCCCCAAAAAAAAATGATTACTGATATATTTATTAGCTCTACTCTGTACATGTATTCTGAAAATGACTGTGAACGTAAATGATATAAAACTAATACTGAGAGCACTTGGCAAACCAGAGGCAAAAAATCTGAAAGAAAATTGGATTATTTTTTTATGGTGTCCATCCTGATTTTGTGGAACTCATAAGATGATGGGAAGGAAATAAATTGTCTTTTCCACAATAGGCAATTATTATGACAGATGCAGTTTACTCACTCCACCATTCATCATTTCTATAGATGTAGTTTGGCCCACCAATATAGACCATCTTCAATGACTTTTTTATATGTAAAGTGGTTTGACAGTTTTTTACTTTGTTCAGAAGTGGATGACTAATGGACTTGGTGAGTATTTTTTGATGGTGACCATTCTGAATTTGTGGAATTATATAGTCACTGAAGATTTACACAATTTATTTCCTACCCATCATCTCACAATAGGATAGATGGTAGTTAAGATTGAAGAGTATAGGGTTGGGAAGGGCAGAGGCGAGAAGTAGACAAAAGTAAAAAGTAGGACAAACAAGACTGAGATATTGAATGGTTTTTCAGAAAAATCTCCCAATTTCGCAAAATTTGTGAGAGAGGTCAGATTGTGACCAGAAGGGGAGAAAAGCATTTGCTGAAGACGACAAGTAAGGAAGCAAGGTGTCTGCTACATATATACAACCTCAGCCCGATAGAGTATCCAGCTAGAGCTCTTAAAATGCAAAAAAAAACTTGAATGAAAGTCGTGGGAAACTTCCAAGCCCAATCAATATAACTCATCACTGGTCCTGAAAAAGTTAAGCTCATCAGAATGTCTGTTGATACACACGTTCAAGTGCATTTTGAAAGACACCCACCGCTCTATGACCAAGAGTAAACTCGCAAGCAATGCCTTAAATAAATTTTATCTGCTTCCATGTAGTACATGTTAAAGTTTATTCTAAACTGTCTTTTGGGATCAACTTCCCCTTTCTTAACTTCTTTCTATAGGATTTTTCTCAAATTAGAGCTTATAGGGTATGCCAAGTACTATTAATGGATTGCCGTTATAACGATGAATATAGAAATTTAAGAGGAAAAAAAACTTATGCACACATCCAATAGGCCACGTTTATAGTATAAAAGTGATCCTGCTAAATAATTTTTTCTTTGAAATGAGAGCCTATCATGAAAAAAAAAATATTTCTAATAAATATTATAGTTTCAGATGTGTCCAGATGGGAAAGGCTGAACCTCCGCTCTCCGGTACGTCAACTCTGAGAAAACCGAAGAGTTCAGACATGTACACGACAGTCGTATTTTCATTCTGCGATGAGCAGTTTCCTTATAGGACAAAAATTCCTGGCCACTCAATCACTTTGAAACAGTTCAAAGAATTCCTTCCGAAGAAAGGCAATTACAGGTACGTTATTCAATCATAAAAACCGAGATCTAGTTTTTAATGCTCGGTTTTCTTTTCTCAGGTACTTTTTTAAGACTGAATGCGAAGATTTGGACGTCCGTGTTATACAAGAGGAGATCACGGACGACAGCGAAGTGTTGCCCCTTTGGGAAGGCAAAGTGATGGCGCAGGTGAAACCACTCGAATGACATCATGACCCCAGTGAAGCGTTACTCCTCATTGTCTTGGCAAAATACATTTCGGGCAGGCCTCATAATATGCCAAGCCGTGAAGTAACGACTTCGACAGGAAGCTAAAAAGTTGTTCCAAGTCTTCCAAGTCTGATTTAATATTAAATTGATATTAGTCTTTGAATTTTACAAAACTTAAGGGAGTAAATATGTGCCTTTTTTTAAATTTAAAAAATTATAAACTTGTAATTTATATTTACTATTTGTTGGTATAATGTCCTTAGAGTTTTTTTTTTCTGTTTAAAAGAAATTAAAATAAGAAGTCTGTTGTAAATTACATTTCATTACTGTATATAATGAAGTAGTTTATAATTGTAAATAAATTCAGTTGTTCATTTTTAACTTGTCTCAATCTCAATGAAGTAATGTGCCATTGAATTTTTTTATCAGGCTCAATAGTAAATTTTCTCAATTGTATTAAATCCAAGCAATTGTAAATAGTTTTAATATGTATTTTTATTTGTAATGTATATAATTCTTTAAAGAAAAAATGTCCTACAACAAAAATCGTGCATTATACAGCAAGCTGGAACTTCTCGCATCTCAACAGTCGATTGTGAAATAATGTACAAAGAGTGCGAGGATGGTTTGAGCTTGTTCAGATGAATTTTGTTTTATTTTTGTTGTTAGATCATCGGTTTAGAATCAAAAGTTCCTTTCATGTTGTCTCGTACAGTATGTTTTTATTAATAAGGTTAAGGCATATTTATTACCTCATTCTATACTTCGTATATAAAACTAAAAAAAGAAAAAAAAACATGAACAAAAGCAATGAATACTGAGATAGAGTTGTAAATATATTTTTGTAATTTTGGATAATCCTTTGTTTTTGATACAAAAATAACATAAAAACATTTGGGAGTATGTAAACATGATTTGTAATTTCAAATATGTTGTTACTTAAAAGAAGAAATGCACAATTTTTTACTGATTAAATTCAATTATTGCAGCAGCTTTTGACAATTTGTTTTCAATAAATCATATGGCAATATTCTTATTGATTAAATTAAAATGTAACAACAAAATGCATTTTGTAATTTAATAAGTTGTTTCATTATACCTCCTTTTATCTCTACAGAAAACAACATTGGATCCTAATGTTTAATAATTAATAATCTATCACATTGCAATAAATACAGGACTTTTCCTGTGTTTATTGTTTTTCTTTAACTATGCAGGTCTTCTACATTAGGTGTCCACTTCTGCAGGTGATAAAAAACCGGGCCTATCCTCATTTTTATTTAGCTAGTGCTTGGTCTGAGTGAACTGCCGAAACACATCTGACACACTAAATCAATTTACATGGAAATATTTATTTAAAACCTGCTGAAAATTGTTTTCAACTTTTATGAAATGGTACTTCAGTAAATGGTTTTAAAAATTTACAATTTTAGTTGCCTTCGTTCTTTAAATTGAAAATGTTGAGCGTTTGGCGAGATAGATGGCCAATAGTTAAAAAGTTAGATTAACTTATGAATACTTTCCAAACCAAGAGCAGAGAATACCCTTATATCAAACAAAAAGCTTTTTTATCACACATAAACAAACCAACCAAAGTATAAATCCACAAACATACTTCAATATGCAAATTGAATGCAAGCATGGCTGTTGTGTTTATTTGTTCTACAAAAACAACATATCTCAATATTTCAAAGAATTATCACAATTGGCTTGGAGTGTAGCAAGCAACATAGGGGAGGAGGGTAAAAAAAATCTGCTCTTCATAACACTCAAATAGATAACACCCCTCATTTTGTGCAAAAGTTAATGCAAGGCAATTTTGTTTATTTTTTGTACAACAAAAACAATATATGTGTAATATTTAATGACTATAAAGTAATTAGAGATCGTGAGATGCGGTGGTGTGATGTAGATTTCAAAAAACATTTTCTTTATCGTGCCAATGTTTCAATCTTCGTTGAGATTGTGTTCAGGGCCTGGGATTTAGAAACATTGTTTAAATTATGCAAATACATGTACGATATGACTGAATTTGTACAATGATGTACACAATTAGAAATTTTAGGTTTAATCAAAGTGTTTGTACTCAAAAAGTGTGTTTTCCTTGTAGATGTGTCACGATCTCTAAAGTCTAAATAATAAAAACATCATCTTAATAATTTTATAAAATTATGTTTATCACTTTTGGCTGGGGGACAGGAAGAGGGTCAAACAACAGGCCCCTCTTTATATAGCTTTCTAAAGTATTCAGTTGCATTAAGGTTTTTTGGACAGTTAACAAGGTTGCATTGTATTTTATTTTTTTTAAAAATGTATAAATGGTTGACCTATAAAGTATTAAGTTGTACTAGGCAGTTTTGAACAGTTGGACGATGGTTGCATCCTGTTATGATAATTTTCAAAAATATCTAAATATCAAGATTTATTATTAAAGCTATTACTAAGCTAATTTTCAAAAAGTATAAATCCACCCTATATTTCAAAAGTACTTGTTGTTTTGAGCTTTCTGACAATAACAGTGCTGCATTGTCATAATTTTTAAATGTTCAAAATGTATAAATACAGGATTATTTTTCTGTAATACTAATATTCATTACATTCTTTTAATTATTACAAACCATTAATTCACTAATTTCGTGGTCCGCTTGACCAATTGATACATGACAATTAATTAAGGTTTTTAGTTGAGATGAAAAAAAGTTAATGGCACGAGAGGGATTCGTACCCACGACCTTCGGCTAGATACGCCGCTGCTCTACCACCTGAGCTATCGTGTCCTCGATCCACTCGGACATCAACTCCCCATCTCAACCCCACCTTATGAGTTTTCTCTATGAAAAAGCTTTTCACTAAAGCTCTCCATCGCCATTTCAATTGTCGTCGAGAATCCAAACCGATTACACAACATTTGAAAAATGGCAAAAGGAGGGAAAACTCATAAGGTGGGGTTGAGATGGGGAGTTGATGTCCGAGTGGATCGTGGTCACGATAGCTCAGGTGGTAGAGCAGCGGTGTATCTAGCCGAAGGTCGTGGGTTCGAATCCCTCTCGTGCCATTAACTTTTTTTCATCTCAACTAAAAACCTTAAGTAATTGTCATTATTACAAACGTCAAAATATACTATATTTCTAAAATATTCAGTTGCATTAATATTTTTGGAATGTTGAACACTATAAAAATCTAAAGACATGCACACATCAAATTGATTAGAAGGCGATTTGTTGTTTATTTTACAATAGAATAACAAAAACATTTCAGAGAACTAACAATTTATCACATTTGGCTGGGAATTTGGCATACAGGAAGGGGGTCAAATGAGCGGGCAGGCGCCCACCCTTTTTTTGAACCCTACAAGAATCTGGAGTAATACACAGGTCAAATTGAATAGAAAGCGATTTGCTGTTTATTTTACAATAGAATAACAACAACATTTCAAAGAACAATCAATTTATCACATTTGATTGGGAATTTAGCACACAGGATAGAAAGGGGTCAAATAAACGGGCAAGCGCCCTCTCTTTTTTTTTTTGAACCCTGGAAGAATCTGGAGTAATACACAGGTCAAATTGAATAGAAAGCGATTTGCTGTTTATTTTACAATAGAATAACAACATTTCAAAGAACCATCAATTTATCACATTTGATTGGGAATTTAGCACACAGGACAGGAAGGGGGCAAATAAACGGGCAGGCGCCCCCCTTTTTTTGAACCCTGTAAGAATCTCGAGTAATACGCAGATCAAATTGAATGGAAAGCGATTTGTATATTTGTACAATAGAACAACAACAACAGATGTCCGTATTTTATAGAAGAATCAGATTTCAGCAGGGGAAAAACAGCTTTTGATTTGTTAGATTTCCGAAGTAATTCCTGGTAAACTTTTTTTTTTAAATTGAGCGTCATCTCAATTGTCAAGAAATCATAAACTAAAACGCAAATGTATAAAAATTAGAAAGGGGAAATAAAAAGTCGTATTTCCCTTGTTCGTCCTGGGATCGGTGTTAGTATCGAGATGATTGAGTGCCGCGAGGAGGGGAGAACGGAATCGATTCCAAGACCGGCTTCGCCCTTGACAAAGCCCATCTGCGAGTGCGAAACGTGAGTGCGCCACCCAATTCAGTCGGCTGTGAGATTGTCATGTGTGAGGTGCTCGTCGGGTGAAGGTTCAATTACTTTTTATTTTTTTTTATTTTTTAAAAAAGAAATTCACAGAAATAAAAAATAAAACTAAGGCGGATTCCCGGTCGATCTCTCCCCCAAACCCCCGTCAATCGTTCGAGGCAGATAACAATTTAGATAATATATAATTAACAAAAAGAAAGAAAGAAAATGGCAAATCTAAGACAAACCCCGTTGACCTGTAGTGGACACACCCGACCAGTCGTTCATCTTGCGTTTAGTGATATTACAGAAAGCTCATACTTGCTGATTTCGGCGAGCAAAGGTACGCATGAAAAAGCGGCCCCGGCCTCGGCCCGTTACCGCTAACGCGTTTTTCCTTGTTTTAGATGGGAAACCCATGTTGCGGCAGGGCGACACAGGAGATTGGATTGGAACGTTCGAGGGGCACAAAGGAGCCGTCTGGGGGGTCGCGATCAACAAGGAAGCGACGAAGGCGGCCTCAGGAGCAGCGGACTTCAACGCGAAGGTAAGCACTCGTTCTTCTACACAGACGATAGAACAGTTGAAAGTTTGAAAGTAACCTCAGCCGCGGGCGAACGAGAAATGGAGTTCGTTTCACAGAAAGCTCTTCGTTCCCGGCACCCGGATTTCGCCCTAATTACAAACGAAAATGGACTCGTATCGCATTTTCCGTCTTTTCCTTGTCATACCCATTCTTGATACTGACCTACGTCTTTACCTATGCTCACTCGTCATGTATCTCTTAACGTCCGCAACGATAAATATCCCCAAATGCGTTTTCTCTATTGGCTGAGCTTTACAAATTTAGTGAACTTTCTTAACCGATATTAATTCCATTTTATTCATAATACAAACGATTAAATGCGCCTTTAGTTAGGAAGTAAACAAAACTGACATGTGTCGCGATATGGAAGATAAAGCACTGTTATCCATTCCTGGTTTCACTCATTCAGAACTGTTTCTATAATATAAGATTATCTTTAAAAAACGGTGTATTTCTCATATATTCAGTTGAATTGGGTTTTCGAAAAATTAACGGTATTGCATTGACTTTTGATAATTTTAATATATTTTTGGTCAGGTTTTTAAACAGTCAACAATGTCGCAATTTCTTAAGATAATTTTGAAAAATGTACAAAATATTATTTATTGCTAAAGTATTCAGGTTTTTAAACAGTTAACAATGTTGCTTTGTCTTAAGATGACTTAAAAAAACGTGTAAATACCATTTTACATTTCAGAGTATTGAGGTATATTGGCGTTTCTGTTGCACTGTCTCAAGATAATTTTGCAAACGTACAAAATATTCTCTATTTCTAAAGTATCCAGGTTTTGGAACAGTTAGCAATTTTGGATTGTCTTAAAATAATTTTCAAAAACGGTCAAAATATTTTATACTTCTAAAGTATTCAGGTTTTTAAACACTTAACAATGATGGATTGTCTTAAAATAATTTTCAAAAACGATCAAAATATTTTATATTTCTAAAAAAATTCAGGTTTTTAAACAGTTAACGATGTAGGATTGTCTTAAAATAATTTTCAAAAATGATCAAAATATCATATTTCAAAAAAATGCATGTTTTTAAACAGTTAACAATGATGGATTGCCTTAAAATCATTTTCAAAATTGATCGAAATATTTTATATTTCTAAAGTTTCAGGTGTTTAAACAGTTAACGATGTAGGATTGTCTTAAAATAATTTTCAAAAACGATCAAAATATTTTATATTTCTAAAGTTTCAGGTTTTTAAACAGTTAACAATGATGGATTGCCTTAAAATAATTTTCAAAAACGATCGAAATATTATTTCTAAAGTATTCAGGTTTTTAAACAGTTAACAATGTTTCATTGTCTTAAGATAAATTTGAACTTGTAAATACCACTTTATATTCAGAGTATTGAGGTCTTTTGGCGTTTCTGTTACATTGTCTTAAGATAATTATTAAAAACTGAGTATTCAGGTTTTTAATTAGTTAACAATGTTGCATAGTCTCAAGATAATTTTTAAAAACGATCAAAATATTCTCTATTTCTAAAGTATCCAGGTTTTGGAACAGTTAGCAATTTTCGATTGTCTTAAAATAATTTTCCAAAACGGTCAAAATATTTTATACTTTTAAAGTATTCAGGTTTTTAAACTGTTAACGATGTTGGATTGTCTTAAAATAACAGTTTACTATGTTAAATTTGTCTTAAGATAATTTTCAAGAACGGTCAAAATATTCCATATTTCTAAAGAATTCAGGTTTTTAATCTGTTAAATAATACTATATTTCTAAAATATTCAGTTGTATTCAATTTTTTGGAATAGCAAAAAGTAATGTTCATAGTCTTACGATAATTTTCTAAAATGTCTAAATGTCAACCTTTATATTTCTAATGTATTCTGTTGTTTGGAGCTTTGTGAACATTTAACAAAATCGCATTGTCTTATGATAATTTTGAAAAATATCTAGATTTATTGTATATTCCTAAAGCATTCAGAAATACTTAAGCTTGTTGAACAATTGACACTATGTATTTCATTATCTTATACTAATATTCAAAGACTTCTGAATCTACCCTACATTTCTAAAATATTGAATTGAATTTGTTGCATTACTTTATTCTTATTTTCAAATCCGGTATTATGTCGCATTGAATATTTTTCCACCCTACATTTCTAAAGAATGCAGTAATATGTTTTTGTTCAACAATTAACAATGCTTACTTGTCATTTGCCATTTTTATAAATGTTCAAAATAGTCTAAATATTCTATATTTCTAAAATATTCACTTGTATTAAGGTTTTTTGAACAGTCGACTATATTGCATCTTACGCTGATTTACAAATTTTCAAAAATATTTAGGTACCACTACTATTTCTAAAGTTCAGTTGTATTGGGTTTTGGTATGTTAACAATATTGATTTGTTATTTTTTGATTTTTAAATGTTTAAAAACGTTTAAATAGCCTATATTTTTAGTTTTTAATTTAATTTAATTTTTTAATTATCAGTAGTACTTGATCTTTTTGTGAAGTTAATCATGTTGATTGTCTTTAACTAGCTTTAAATATTAAAAAACGTCCAAATAATCTTTTTCTAAAGTTTTTAGTTGTAATTGAGATTTTGAGGCTAACAGGGGTGAATTTCCCTTTGTTAATTTTTAAATTCTTCTAAATAGCACCCTACATTCCACAAGTATTCAAGTGGTTTTGAGTTTTTGAACAATCAACAATTTGTTTTATGGGAATTTTCAAAAACGTATAAATCCACCTTGAATTTATAAAATATACAATTTAACTTGGCTTTTTGTAAGAGTTGAGATTATTGCATTGTCTTATATTAAAAAAATTAGCAAAAACTTTTAAATACCACCACATATTTTTAAAGTATTTACTTGCTTTAAATTTTTTGAGTAAGGAACAAAGTAGAATTGTTATTTACTATTTATTAAATTTTAAAAAACGTCTAAATAAGCACTCTATATTTCTAAAATATTCAATGTGTTGTGTATGTTTGAACACTCAACAACGTTCTATTTTATTATGCAAATATTTAAAAAAATCTAAATACCATATCTGAATTTGAGTTTCTTTTTCTCAACAATACTACTCTCCATACTAATGCATAGCCTTATGATAATTTTCAAAAACGTTTAACTGTCAACTTATATTAACTAAAATATTCAATATTATTGAAATTTTTGGAAGAATGCTGTCTGATGTCTTACGCAAATTTTCAAAAAAGTTTAATGCCACCCTCCATTCTTTTAAAGTATTCAGGTATATTAGGTTTTTAGACCAGTTAACAATATTGCCATATTTTTTAAATTTTCAAATAAGTCAGAATACCCGGTTATGAGTAAATTATTCAATTGTATTTGAACTTTTTGCGCAATTGATAATGTTGAATTGCCTTTTGTTGATTTTTACATTTCTACTACTAATCTTTAATATTCAGTTTTATTAGTTTTTAATGGTTTGCTAATTTTATAATTGTCAAATATGCCTCTAAATACTCTATTATCAAAAAGTATTAAGTTGTATTTGGGTTTTTTGAACAGTTAACAACAATATGTTGCGGATTTTGAAATTTCCAAAAAAGTTTAAATACCACCATATATTTCTAAAGTAGTTTTGTACTAAGTCTGTTTGAACAGTTAACAATGTTGTATTTCCTATTTTTCCTATTTCCTATTTTCTAATTTTTAAATGTTGAATACCATTGTTTTATTCAGCTAATCAGTTTTATTTTAGTTTTCTGAGGACTATTGAATTGGATTTTAATAATTGCTAAATTTTCGAAAAACCTTATATTCCAAGTATTCTATATTTCAAAAGTATTTTTGCAATGACTCTGTTTGAACAGTTAACAATGTCGAATTGTTTTTTGCTAATTTTTAAACGTCCAAAAAAGTCTAAATACTTAAATAACGTAGATATCCGCCTAGGGTTGAATTAAAAAAAAAAAAATTATATTTGATAAACATGTGCTATTAGCCTTCAAGAATTCAACTCACATATCGACTTTATAGAGTAAGAGATCATATTTACATGTTAATTCAAAGTAGATAAGAATAAGTCCTGAGGAAGGAGAAACTATATCTCTCAAAGTTAAATTGGGTTTGATAATGTTAAATTTTCGAAAAAACCCATACCCAAAAAACCTGATTTCTAATGGCAATTTGGTATATTCTTCAATAACTCCAGTTTCTCGAGTTTATAGATTTTCTGTTGAATTCTCGATGAGAAAAACTAATTCATTTTGAATTAGTTTTCAAAAGAGGTTTATTTTTTCAATATTTCAGATGATTGACGTAAAATCTGAAGAAAGCTTGTGATGCTAAGCGAGTACGATTTGTTTTTTGAACATTTATCTTTCGAGATAAGTTTAAAAATAAATTAAATTCATCATACATATAACAATTCTTTCATTCCCTTGACGATTTTTGTTTGTTCATTGTCACTTGATTTTGGCATTGCAAAATTCAATTTATTTCATTTGCTATTTCTGTTCGTAAATTTTTAATATTTTAAATTGAAATGCAAACATATTAACTAATTGCTATTCATTAGGGAGTACTGGTTTCTGAAGTTTGGTTGTTTATAAAGTTTCAAAATAAATAGAATATCTTCCTAAGATTTACTGAAAGTGTTGAAAAATAAGTAACTCGGATTATTTATTTTTTTAAATTCATTTTCTTTATCCAAAAAGTAAAAAAATGGTTGATTGAACAACTTACATTAATACGAGCAAGGCTTCATTAACCTTTCAGATTTGAATAATGAACAATAATAATAATAACAATATTTTTAGCATTGATAGCGAGAAATTATTTTCAAAGAGATTAAAAGAAGTAGTAGTGTTAAAATAAAAGATACATGGAAATCGATGTACACCCATCTTACAAATCATTCCGATGCGTCTCAGCCCTAAAAATTTAGAAATTCGGTCCTTTTGCAAGGATTTCGCCTCGGACGTCCGGTGTTGTGTTGTCGAAAATAGGTCAGAGCGAACAGGTACGAAGGTGTAGCTGACCATGCTAATATGGATATCAGAACAGGCGAGCTTGGCTCAAGGAGCTTCCTGGACTTGAGTCAATGCCGCCGCCGAGGATCAGCTCTTTCATTTAACTTCCGAAGGACTTCCTTCTCTCGAACAATTACAAGCTTCCCGCTTCATTTGAGTGCGCGTTATGAATTACGACCTTCCTCTTATAACATACGCATATTTTATTAATATAGATTAAGTTACAGGAAATATAATCTGGTGCATTGAAAAGTTAGACAAAGTAGACAAAAATAAAAAGTCTGTATTAATTATTTTAATACAAAATAATCATTTAAATCGTAAACTCAGGTGTTGAACATGAGAGTGGGAGTGACTGTGTGATCTTTAAGTTAAGCTTGAGGTCAAAAAGGGTCAGGCCTGTTAATGATGGATATATATTGAAGACACCACGATCAAATAGGTAGTTTTAGCCCACAGTATTGACAAACATGTAGCAATCCATTAATTAAATTTAAATAACTGTCAAGTCTAGTCAATAAGTCAGTTTGTTAAGTTGTTAAGTTTGTAATTAGCCTTAGCATTGGCTGGTATTCCAATAACACTCTTATTTTCTTCTGTGTCGTTTCTTTTCCCTTTAAGGAAATTGGTCGAGATAGAAGGGGGATGTACATTGTGGCATAAATCCAGTTACGGTTATTTGGTTGACATTCGTAAACGAGAATCAGGATAACAGGTAGGGAAAAATTTTTCTCAGACGTCCGTAATTTTAAAACGTTCCAACGGCCCATTCCGCTGTTATAGCTATTGTACCACGATGCCCGTGTTATTATCCCCATCCAGCATTTCGGTTTTGATTGAGCAATAGGCTCGTTTCCGTCGGTTCAGCCAACGTTGGCGTAAATTTAACACTTGAAGAAAGATATGCATAGAACTAGTACGAAATATCGCAAAAAAAGACGACTTAATTTTTTTTCAGTTCGTTTCACTGTAAATTGACCTAGTTATAATATAAAGTTTTCGCTAGTTTGTATTAAATTATGTTTATTTATTTAGTTTAGAATGTATTGGAAAATAACATAGTGTGTTTTTGTAAGGAAATATTATTTTAGTTTATATTTAGTTGCAAAAATTAACCTTTCTTAAATTTACACATAAAACTCTATAGAGATTAGCAGGGTTGGTCAACTCTATAGAGCACATCAATGTTAACAAATGTTCAATGAATGTTAACAGTACTTTTCAATTAATTGAGGTTTTTAGTTGAATTAAAAAAAGTGTGGATTACACGACATTTGAAAAATGGCAAAAAGGAGGGAAAATTCAAAAAGATGGGGTTGAGATGAGAAGTTAGTGTCCGAGTGGATCCAGGTCACGATAGCTGAAGTGGTAGAGCAGCGGCGTATCTAGCCGAAGATCATGGGTTCGAATCCCGCTCGTGACACTTGACTTTTTTATCTCAACTAAAAACCTTAATTAATTGAAATATATTAATTGGTCAAGCAGACCACGAAACAAGTGAAGTTAACAGTACAATTATTTCCCTTTCTGAGTAGAAACTCAGCATTCAATGTGGCAATAAATTATTATTAAAGACTATTATTAAACTATTAAAGTATTAGTAAGACCTGTATCTGCTATACGCAGCCGCCGCGTGGTACGGTATGGTGGAAAGGGTACTAGGAAGCGGGGTTTGTATTCCCCAGGCACCGCAGCCTTCTGGCTTATTATTGTACCTTCCTCTAGTTCCTTAGTTCAGTCAATAGACTTAATCCTTCTTCTTAGAAGTATCAGGTCATTGACTGTTGTTGCTGCAATTTGATTCCCTAAGTCTTTTCCGTACGTTAGGTTAAACCTCCATTGAGCTGTTGTTTCGCATTCGAAGATGATATGGGTGGCTGTTTCCTCCTCCTCATTACATAATCTGCAGATGGGATCATATATACCCATGTTGTGTAGATGTTTTCTCAGATACCAGTGACCGGTTAGTAGTTCCACCACTCCTCTGAGTTTTGCCCTCTCCAATTGCATCAGCGTTTTTGCCAATCTTGGTGAGGGTTGTTTCATCATAAGTTTACTATGTCTAGCACCGCTAGAGTTTATCCACTTCTCTTTTTGTTTTGCTGAGATCCATTCTGCGATGGAGATTGGATTCTATGTTTGTTTTTGTTATCCCAAGGGTAGGTTCGGGGCCTATGTATGGTCTTGCAGATCCTCCTCTGGCCGCCGCGTGGAGTTTTACCTTTAACATAAACTTTAAATAGCAGAATAATTTTCTAAGATTTGCTGTTGATTCACCAATATGCAAACTGCATAAGGTCACAAATATTTTTTATTTTATTTTATTTACAGGAGAATCCCATAGAATAATACATTTTTGTGACTAACATAAAAGCTTTATTTTCTCAATTATTATGGTGTTTTTAATTGGATGTATGCTAGAGAAAAATCAATCAATATTAAGTTCATTACCTTCCAGCATTTGTCTATTTATTGCCATGTATTTCATATAGTTGGTTTGACTGGAGTAGGATAGAAAGTGTTAATTATCGTCGAATTAAATTGAGGTACATGAATTCTTACACATTCAAGCAGCTTGGGACAATCCGCTTCAGATTGTAATAAGTTACGGAGGAACAGCGAGTCAATGAGAAATCTTCTATCTTCCAGAGAGAGGATACCAATTTCATTTAAAAGTGGACCATAGTCATCAGGTTCTCTTTTAATTTTTAATTTAAATGCTGCAATTCTTAAGAACTTTTTTTTTTGGACTCTCCAGAAACAAAGTAGGCTTATTGCACATAGGGGCCCAAACTACACCACCATATTCAAGGATTGGCCTCATGTATGAATAACGTAACACTTTCAAGGTTGTCTTGCTGCTAAAGTCCACTGACTTCCTTGAGACAAATCCCTACATTTTCATACCATTAGTTTGAATTTTGTTTATGTGGTTACTAAATGTTAATTTCTTATCATGCCAAACGCCTAAGTCTTTAATCACATCAAGTCTTTATAGAACCCGGCCATTGATCACATAATTGTACTCTAAATCAATCATCTTTCTACTATAGGTAACAGTTTTACATTTCCCACAATTTAATTATACTTTATTATTTGCACACCATTGCTCTAAAGAGTTTAGGTCCCTCTGTAATAGGTTGCATTCAATGATCGTGTCTATGGTTTTATAAATTTTGACATGACGATGTCAAACATGATGATGCAAACATTTTTAAGTTACTATGCTTTATACATGCAGGCAGATTATTAATAAATATTTTGAACAGTAAAGGGGACAGATGTCCACCTTGAGGTACCTCTGAAGTTGCATTTATTTCCTTTGACTTAAAATTAACCTGTTGAAGAGTTCTTATGAAGATTGCACACAGCAAAAATATTGAAATAGGAACAATCGGGCAGTGTACACATGTATTATAAACATAAAATAATTAAAAATAATGTAAGGAAGATGTGATAATGTGTTCGTTAATGTTGGTTTTTTTAGTCCATTTTTTCCCAATATTACCGAAATTAATTTAGTTTAAGTATGTACATGTAAGTGAGAGTTTTAAACTGGTACTCCAAGCAAATATGTAAACTTTAAATATGAAAATATTGTATTTGGACATAAAATAAATAACAATAAAAAAGACAGGTTTTGGCCAATGACGGGCGTAGCGTTATATAGCCCAAGTCCTGGCTGTACAGAGTCCTACGATTCAAGAAGTTCTTTAGCGGTTTAGGGCCACCGTAAGGCTAGATAGAGAGAAGGTAGTGGTCGACCGCGATGTACGACGGCTAGAGACGATGGTTTTATTGCTCTTATAGCATTACCGAACCATCATTTAACGGCTTTCTGGATAGGTAGTCAACTCCAAAACGTTATGTAAGGGTGAGCTCTAATACAGTCAACAGAACGCTTCGTGAGAATAGCCTAGTCTCTAGACGTCCCTCATCAGTACTCTGCTTTTGGAAAGGCATGGAGTAGAACGACTATTCGCACATCAGTATCTAGCCTGGTCACTTGATCCATGGGAGAGGGGTTCTCTTCACAGATTTCTCAAAGCAGATTGAAACAATCGTTTCATACAGTGTGTCCTCTTTGTTAAACTCGCAATCTCACATAGTTACAGGTACGAATGATACCTTCAGGAAACTTCAAGTTTACACTAGGGGCCTATGCAATATTCGCCATTTGTTGGCCATTATGCCAAAGGAACATTCAATAATCTGCGAACTATTGAGTATGTTCTGTCCAATTTGATTTTTTGTAAATAAAGTTAGTTAGAGGTAGTTTAGAAAGACACCTTTTTAATTTTTTTGTCGACGTTTCGACCTTAATTCGGGTTATCTTCATGGCATAAAGTGTGATACTCTTCTTATGGTGTCATTTTGGTTTTGTGTGAAAGTGTGCACACAAAACCAGTATGACACCCCAAGAATAGCACCACACTTTATGCCCTGAGGATGACCCGAATAAAGGTCGAAACGTTGGCAAAAAATGAAAAAGATGTTTTTCTAAACTACCTCTTCTTGACCGCTCCTCACGACTAAAACAAATTATGAAACAACGGGACACTAAGAAACACACAAAGTTAAGTATGTCAATCTAATGTTTTCTTCATAGTGATACCTCCTCCATCACCTAATTAGGAATAGGCTGGCTAATTTATAAAACTTATTTACTACATATAAATTTCTAATTTTAAATAATTAAATGCTATGTGTTCACCCTGGATTTTGTACTGTGAAAGGTGGGGTCCGTTGGCAAAGGTTTGGGAAGCCCTGTTGTAATTAATATAACGATAAAATACAACGACAAATAGTCTAAAATAAACAAAAAATACGAATGTCTGATTTTTAGTTTTTGAGTGTATTTGCATATCCATTACATTATGAAGAATTTGTTTAAACTATTTTTTTATATCTCTTCGAACTCGAACTTATCGAATGTTCTGTTTTCTTGTGTTTCAGATTTGGGACGCTTTAACAGGTGGCGAGCTCCTTTCCATACCTCATAAACATATAGTCAAAAGCGTACATTTTTCGACCGACAGCACTCACTTAGCAACTGGAAGCAATGAAAAACTTTTGAGGATATGGGACCTTAACAAACCGTTCACAGGTAATCAATTCAATTTGAGAATATTGTAAATTTATTTCAGATATCGGGTACGTCGCTGATTTTCAAGTGGATCTCGGCCATTTCCGTGTTGCGAAATATTTTGGTTTTTGCAGTTTGGAGGAGATTGAATCAAGTGCTATTTGAACCCGGCCAATAATTAATTCCATGTCCTTTTTGTGCCATCCTCCTAAATTATTTTCCTCGTAAAATATTTTGATTTTATCAGAAAACGGCCGTTTGGACAAGATTTTGAACTTAAGGTAGAGTTAGTTAGCATCTCAGATCATGTAAAAATCATGAAAATACCAGACCCTACGAGGAAGAAAAGATGCGAATTTCTTTTCACAAATATAGACTGCAAGTCCTTTAGTTAAAATGCCTTGTAAGGTTTGTTAATCCATCGTTATGCTGATGGAAAAAGCACGATATACCAGGCCTTGTGTCGAGGAAGAAAGTTCTGTTTAGTAACGCGATCGCTTTTCCTTGTTAGCTGCAATTTTAGTCGAGGTCATAAATTTTTAAGAAGAAGATTAAAGCAAAAGGTTTACTTTAAATGCTATCAAAGTTGTTTTGGGGGTCAAGTTTTCCGGTTGAAGTCCTCCCTCGGAAGCTTTGTTTAACTCCTGCTGTATTTTTCTGTTTTACTAGTCATGATTGAATTGCAAGTAATAAATATTGAATCGAAAAAAAACGTGGTTAGATTAGATTTAGTGGCTAAAGAACCTTTTCCATTACGTAAAATAGGACTTTTCTGCTCCTCCTCGTATGGCTAACTTTTAGCTAATCTAACTTCAGGGTTTTGTAAAATTTGTCCGTTTGTTCTGCGGGGTGATGAATCTGAAATTTGGTCGTTTATTTTGTTCTGCCTATTTTCCCTGTTTTAGACTGCCAGACGCGTTTCGGGATATAAGGCGGACCAGAATGATCAGAAACGACACAATTACATATTGATCAAACCGTAGACCTAAAGAAGAAATTTCACCAACGTAACGTTTTTAATAGAATTTTGGAATGGAAGTCGGAACCTTAGGCTGACCGATGTCGAAGGTTTGTAGTTTGCAAAGAAGCGAGTATAGGCGGACCAAAATCACCAGAAACGACCCAATTACATGTGATGAAACCGGTATTTTGATGAAAAAAAAAAGCAATTGTAAATACGTCGGCCAGCGGCCCTGCATTCGAACCCGGGGCCTTTCAGTGATGAGCATCGTGTCAACGCTTTAACGTTATTCCCCACGAAGGTTTGTTTTTGCAAAACAGCGAGGATAGGCGGACCAGATTGAAAAGAAACAACCAAACGTTGCTTTCATCACATCGTAGACCTCAGGAAGAAATCTCACAATAAAACTTTTCCACTAGAATCTGAACAAAATTAAATGGTGGGTAGGTTTGAGTTGAAGTCAAAACCTTAGGTTGACCAATTTTGAGCGTTTGTTAACAAAACAGCGAGGATAGGCGGACTAGAATGATCAGAAACAACCAAACTGCTTTCATCGCATCAAGCAGAAATTTTGAAGCTATGCATATTTCAAAAATTCCAGGATCGTAAATACTTTTCTTTCTTCTTCACCATTGGTTTAAAATTTCTTATTCGCACGGATTAATTAATCTTGTTTTACTATAGCATCAGATAATTTCTTCTAAACGAAATGATTGTTTGTTTAAATCTGCGATATGGAGAAAAAACCGCTTATTCACCGCATGTATTCCTTGACTCGAAGGTTACTTCCATGACTGGAATCTTATCGTTGAAACTTTTTAAACCCACTTTCAATGCCGTAGGATAGTCGCAAAAACATTTTCCTTTGACACAAATTGCTTAGAATGTAAGTTGTTCTGTTTAAAAAGAAAGAAAGAAAAGTTTTAATTAAACTAGGACTCTTTTGATGTTAGAACTTAGGGATGGTTAGGTATGGTAGGCAACCGTGTCTGAACTTAAAATTGGTTATTTCTTGGTGAAAAACCGGTGTACATTTGAATGCGTCAAATAATTACCTGCCTTTATAAACTGACTTGCCTTTGCGTTTATGAAACGGAAGATTAACATGCGAAACTGTTAATCCAGCTGAATTTCTTAGATTATCTCATCCGGATTAAAAGTTACTGCAAGTTCGCAAACACCCACGTACTACTTTTCGCTTGGGGAGAGCGTTATGCAATTTAAGGTATTTTTAAGGATGTCTGGTGCAAAAAAAGTCTTATTGTTATTTATTTTTTAAATAGTGAGGTTTGTTCTTGTAGTAGGCCGGGTGATGAACCATTACCCTGTAAGACGCGTTTCGGCTTTTCACCATTTTTCAGTAGTGATTTTATCAAGATTGCAACCCTAAAATCAACGCTGATGATCTTTGATTTATTGTTTTTTTTTTCGAGCTATGTATTTTATTTTTCAATATCAAGTGTTTTAATTAAGTTGTCCTTTTATTCATTTTTTCCTGATTTGTCGGTTTCTGGGTAGAAGTTATAAAAAAGTTGAGTGCTCTCACTAAACCATAAAACTGGGTACAGCCTTCACCTTATTTCTCCCTTCTTCCGTCCCTTGTATTCCGAAAAGCCCCACTTCCTTTGCGGCTACCGGCTTTTTCGCGGATCACCATGATTCATAGCCGTGCCTTGACTCCTGATATTGATCTTTAACGAGTTCTATTTCTTTCCGAGTAAATACGGATGGAGACCTTTGATCTATGTGAATCCATTTTTCCACCGCAATGATAGAAGTCCAGAGGGATCGAAACATCATGAAGAATATAAAATTTACTGAAAAGGAATGGCCTAACCGAAATAAATATTTCAGAGGCTTCAAGTCCTCGGCTGTACAAGCTTGTGCTAATACATTTAGTTTAATATGATGTTCCTTATTTTGGATTATTTCAAAACGCAAGAAAATCTTGGAAAAAAGGATCTTTGAGGTCTCAACAGAACGACAGTTTTTTAAGTTTTTGCCGAGATTCGACGATTATATCCTCATCATCAGGGCCTATTTATTAGAAAATATCGCAGTTAGAACATGTTATATCATTTACAAAAAACAAAATTACAAAAACAATTATTTTTCTTACTTCAACTCGATGAGTATTAAAATATATACAAGAAACTGTATTTATGGTGAGATTATTTAAAATTAGGTGAAGCTCAGTATCTAAACATTAACAGTATGGAATTAACTAAAAATAATAAAAACAACATAATATAAAAAAATTAAAAAAACCAACAACGTTGTCGTATAGGTTATCTCGATTAGAATATAAATATAAGTTCATGCCTCTTTTTTTAAATAAAATTACTTTTTTCTCGGGTACATTAGAATATCACAGTTAAGATTAAATTAAGCTTTTTTAAATTGTACTATATATAGCTAACTTAAAATAAATTGATAACCTCGAAGTTATCTATGAGTAAATGATATAAAATGTTCTAATTGCGACATTTTCTAGTAAATAGGCCCTGATGATGACGATATAATTGTCGAAAGCTCGGCAAAAACTTAAAGAATTGTCGTTCTGTTGTGACCTCATCGAAGATCCTTTTTGCCAAGTTGTTCAACAGCAGGTCGATGTCTCATCTTCAATTACGCAAGAAAATGTTAAGTTCTGAAATATCAAGCTGCACGAAGTGATGAGCAGATCAAAAATTTTGTCCGTTTTACGAAAATCAAACATGGGCCTAGAACTATTTCAAAAGACTTGAACTGTTACATGGTCATAATAATTTTTGAATGAATAGTTAGATTTTTTATTGAGTTTTTCGAGATGATAAACATGGAGTCGTCCACCTAGGTCATTTTTACCTGACTGTTCTTGTTTCTTGAATCTGATCGTTGTTTTGAACAGCCCACCACTGAAGATGCCGAAAGACTTGAAGCAGTTCAAGTCACCGAAGATAGGCAAAATGATCGGAAACGACCAAATTTTTATGGATCTGTTGGTCTGAAGCAGTTTTTTATCCGTACACTGTATTAAAAGTAAAACACCTCTCTTTCCAATTATTTTTCTTATCGAATTAAAATTGAAAGTATTAGGGGTAAATCGCTTTGAGCGCAAAAACTTCGTAAGTTTTGTTTCATGCCCATCTTCATGTTCTTCTTTTTACAATTAGCTCATGTTAATCATTTTATTCAAAATATGAACCAGAATCAGTCGCTTTCTGTTGATCCTTTTTCGTTGAGGGATTACCCGAGATTTTATTCTTTTCTTGTCCTTGTCGCCGAGACCGATTAACCTCGTGTTTCCTTGGGCATAGATCGCCTACCCACTCCTTCCCATCCAACACGACTCGCCTTGACCTTTTTGGTTTTTCGATATCATTAATTGCCCGGCCCGAGACCTTAGCGGAAACGCCTTTCCGACCCCTTCTTGTCTCCTGAGTACTTCTCGCTCATTTGACAACCTTTCGCTTCGTCGTGGACTTGATGGTATTTTTATCTGGGCTCTTTTTTAGCCCACTCTGCCAAGAAAGTAGAACCGTTCAAGTTCGTTATTTAATTATTGTTGGGCATTTGTCAAGGTAAAAGCGATTTTTTCACCGTGTTATCTGCTTATATGGCCAGTTAATTATATCAATTTGAACAAAGCAAACAAATGCCCTTACATTCTTTTTTTTCATTGTAAACAATTTTCTGACATCTATTTTTAGCAGAATTTGCTTATAAAAGAGAATAGAACCAAAATTATAACTTTTTAATTATTTTTATCAGCTTATGCTTAATTATATAAATACTCAATTAATTATACACGATTTTTTCGAAATGAAAAATTTGTGTCACAGGCGGGATTCGAACCCACGACTTTTGGCTAGATATGCCGCTGCTCTACCACTTGAGCTACCATGACTTTGATCGCCCATGCCACAAACTTCTCATTTCAACTCCCGTTATTTTTCCAATTGTAAGCAAATCGCAGCTTCATATAGAAAGACTTTTTATTAACGATTATACTACATTAGCGGTACTGTGTACGATTCACAGGTGTGATTCTAGATTAATTCTAACTTTTTAATTATTTATTTAGAAATCGTGAGATGCGGTCTGGTGTGATGTAAATTTCAGAAAAACATTTTCTTTATCGTGCTAGATAAAGAAAATGTTTTTCTGAAACCTACATCACACCAGACCACATCTCATGATTTCTAAATAAATATCGATTAACAGTCACTAATCACCACACCTTTTTAATTATTTTTATCAGCTAATACTTAATTATATAAATACTCAATTGATTATACACCATTTTTTCGAAATGAAAAATTTGTGTCATAGGCGGGATTTGAACCCACGTCTTTCAGCTAGATATACTGCTGCTCTACCACTTGAGCTACCGTGACGTCGATCGCCCACCCCTGCCTGCGACAAAAATTTTTCATTTCCAAAAAATTGTGTAAAATAATTGAGAGCCAAAAATATTTAAAAACAATGACAGTAATACGGCCCTAATTCTCTGTTGGACTCGAGTAGAGAGGATATTTTACATACCCTCGAGAAAAGTGACAAAACTCAACAAAAAAAAATTTTAAAGGAGTGATAGATGAAAATTGTTTTAAATTTATGTATTAAGTAATTAAGGGTTTTATTTGAGATAAAAAAGGCAATGACTCAAGCGGGATTCGAACCCACGATCTTCGGCTAGATACGCCGCTGCTCTACCACTTGAGCTATCAAAAAGGAGGGAAAATTCAAAAGGTGCGGTTGAGATGGGAAGTTGGTGTCCGAGTGGATTGAGGTCACGATAGCTTGGCAGTAACAACTGAATTTGCTTTTTCCTTCGGGATCAGAGTGTTTGGGAGTGAAAAACTGTCAATAATTCTAACATTGAAAACTAAAATAATTCTAAAATTAGTACTACTTTGCTCTTACAATAAAGAGAAAAACACAGCATAAGAACGCTGTTAGATACAGTTAAGGACATGCAATCTTATTTTTTTGTGTAAAATATAATTGTGGTAATTCAGTATTTACAAAATTTGGATTTTCTGTAACCTTTTTGATCTGCAACTTTGAAGCTGAGCATTCATGCTTCCCAGATTTGTTAGTGAAATCTAAAGAGCCAGAACTATCAAAATTATAGGTCATACTTTTCTTTTCATTGCCCATCATCAAATTGCAACAGGAAGATCCAGTCCATAACACTGTTTTACAGTAGTTGCCAGAGAGGTGGAATTTGAAAACTGACAGACTTCATTGCCATTATTGATGGTAGTTTCCTTCTTGTTGGTTATCAACAAATTTAATTTGTTCATGTGATGTAAAAGGCATTTTTACAAATATTAATATATGCCGACACTTGATAGTACTTTGTTTTTTCTTTTTTTTTTTTCCTCTGGCCTTGTACTAGTGTACATCTAGATTGATAGTACTTAGCGACACACGATATACTGAAAGTGAATATAGAATTTTTTCACTAATTGTAATCAAATGGTCAACTTATGCTAATTAAAAAAATAATTTATCCACTTTGTCCATACTCCTGATTCTTCGGGGATTTACAGAAGTAGTACTAAAGTCAATATTATATTTGTTATCAACTTGAATTATTGAAGCTCATTTATAGACTTTTGAAACAAAATGAATGCGTTGATTTATTACAGCTGTACAGGAGTTTGCCGGACATACTGGTGGAATTAGGCAGATGTATTATTTCCGAAATGACACAAGACTTGTTTCTTGCTCAGATGATAAGACTGTACGAGTGTGGGACGTTTCCTCAGGCAAGGTGCGATGGCATCCATAGTTTCTATTTTGATATTTTTCAATTGTGAAATCCTATTCATTTGGCTTCAGGAAGTGGAAAAACTCGAATTCCAGTCTGTGCCAAACAGTATTGAAGTATCTCCAGATGGCCAGGTTATAACTGTAGTTTCCGGCTATAACGTCAGCTTCTGGGATTCTGAAAGGTGCGTTAAACTAGTATCTTTAAAAATATATCTTAGTTAATTTCTGTTTCTATTTTTTTTTCAGTCTCACAAAAATAAACGAATTTACCGTCCCGACTCCGGTCAATTCTGCATCTTTGCATATGGACAAAACCATTTTTGTTTGTGGAGGTGACGATTTCAAAATGTATAAAATGGATTATAAAACAGGACAAGAAATAGGTGAATATAACTTATTACTTGATCAAGAGAACGAAATTCTAAAAAAATGTTATATTTGAATTTTAGAATCTTTCAAAGGCCACTTTGGACCGGTGCATTGTGTAAGATTCTCCCCTGACGGTGAGCTTTATGCATCTGGCTCTGAGGACGGAACTCTCAGGCTTTGGCAAACGACTGTCGGGAAGACATACGGGCTGTGGAAATGTATCGAAAGCACCAACAACACGACAACGAACAACAGTGATCAGCAGAACAACATACAACAGAGTACACTTCAGGAAGTCGTTGCAAACTGAATTATTTACCGTTTTGAAACCACCTTGTTGGAGTTATGTATTTTCTGTTCAATGGCATTCTACCACTCACTATTTCTTCCTATCCTATCTCCACTATCGTTCTCTGTAATTCTCCTCTCCCCCTCCCTTCCCCTCATAGTTCTTTCCTTTATTGTTAAACCCATTTGGCTGGATTCTTTGATTTAGCGAAAAACGGGCCGAGTTGTCCTCCCCTGATCATGCATTTATTGTATAAGAGCTGATTATATCATCTGTACGCAAATTTTTATTTTTTTCTTACTTTTACATATTGGTCATACTAGCAAATAAGAACGCGATACAATTTCGCTAGACAAACTTTTCAATTAATTATTTGTCATTGGAAATAATTAATTGGAAAAATTGAGTAAGTGAAGAAATAAATGAGTATAATAAATTAAATAAAAAATTTTAAAAATGAAGTTTTTATTTTAACTATCAGAATGCTTAGACAAGACTTTTGAAAAAATAAACTATACAAATCGATCATTGAAAGTAAACCAACCTAATTAATAAAGATGTATGATTTAAAAAAAGATACAAAAATAAAGAAAATGTAAAAAAAAAGATCTCTATTTAATTTATTTTATCTTCAAGAAAGGCATTATTTGTTGTAAGTGTTTGAACTAAACTTAAGAAATCTCAAAAATATCAATGAATATTTTTATTATTTTAATTTTTGCATCTTATTTAACTGTTCTTTTTGGATTGTATTAAATTTAGACAAACATGATTTAAACATATTCTTTTTACATAGTATTTATGGAAAAAATACTGAGAATAAGCAATTGTAATTTTTATGTAAATATAATATTTCTAAGTATTGTACAGTTTGTTATACCTTTCATGTACAAAGTTTCTTTCTTCTAAGGGGAATGATTGAAACGTCAAATTTGGTTGCTGGTGGACAAAATTGCCTCTTTCATGAGATGGTTAGTTGATTCAACTGGTCGAAAGGATGGGTGTCAAGAAGTGTAGCCAGGTAGCAAATGATTGAGAACCACCTGTATCCATTTAATTAGTCAACTCAATGAAATGTCAATGAAACGGTGGACGCACTTGCAAAGGAGGCTGCAACATCAGGTCCAACCGTTGACATTAAAATTCCTAAAGATGACGGGAAAAACTTTTTGGAAAAGTTTTGTAGAAATCTGTGGCAAGAAAAATACAACGCATCAAATGTTGGCAATTATTACAGGTCACTGTTCCCTGAGCTCAAGAAAAAAACCATGGTTTTCAGAAGGCGATAGCCCAGAAGGAATGTCAAAGGAGTTCTATTCTACTGTTTTTAGACTGAAGACAAATCATGGCCTATGGGGTAGCTACAAAAAGAGAATCGGTTTGGCATCGTCAACAAACTGTCCCACTTGCGATTGCCCTTCAAATCCTTCCCACATAATTTTTGAATGTCCAGAATATGAAAATGAAAGAAACTGCTAAAAAATCTGAGCAAAGTTCCAAACATTTCAAAACCAATAAACTTTGAATCTGTCCTAATAAGCAACAATCCATCAGCTTTCAGCATAATCTATGGATTTCTAAAGTCGATAAACGTTTCTTTTTGATTATCTTCAAGCATGAAAATTGAGAAGATGATGGAGCTGAATGAGGGGTGCGGGCGTGCGGCAGGGACCTGGCCCTGGTTGGCCGATCACGCTCGACAGTAAAATGAAAATAGAAGAAAACTTCATGGGTAATATGCCAGCGTAAACCCCCCCCCCCAAAAATAAATTTATAAAACGTGAGGTGGAAGAAATGTGAGGTGCCGGCAATAAAAAAAGCAGAAAAAAAAAAAAAAAAAGTCAACTCGCCCAAGGTGGTTGCAAGTGCCACTTACGTTTTGTTCTCATCCTCATTGGTCAATTCAACACAAAAGACAACTAAATTCATCCTTTACACCAGTCACACAGTTCACTAGAAAGTACAATTACCGGTTTCAATGTGGAACAGTTGATTGAATGAGTTTGAATTAGTCCTGCGTTATGGGACTGAAGTATGATGAGTGTAGCATAAAATTAAAATTATGAAGCCTGGAGAGAAGTGGTACAGTAGTAGAAAAAGCGCGGATTTCCAGATTTAAAAACAACAGATGAACGCTTCCTTGGCTGGATTTTTTGCCTCTCTTCTTGCATAAAAACATACTCCTGTTTCCCTTTTCCTTATATAATAGTTATATATTCCTTATATAATAGATTTATTACAGTTATAAAAGTTGTTGACTTATAGAAAATTTATTCAAATAACCATTTTTTTCTACACATTTAAGAAATATTTGTCTATGTCTTGCTCCTTGTAAGAAATAGTGGGGGGAGGTTTAAAATTTAAATTAACACAATTAAGTAATAACTTTATTGATCTTAATAAATAATTTGATATTTCATTAGAAACAATCGCAAAGAACAATTTTTTATTTAAAAAAAAAGTCTTTCAATTTCTCACAAAAGAGTATATGTACACTTAACTTTAATAGGTAGTAGAAAAAGTATACACCTTATAAAATTGTTAAAAGAGGTAAAAAATGTATAATTTAACATACTATACATTTAGTCGTAATAATTATGTCAAACTTTCTTGGCACATAAATGGCATCTTTACGCTATTGGTAACTGTCAATTACGTTTTCTTTCAGACATTTTAATTTCATACTGATCCATTGAGATGTTTTGCTGTATATTCTTAAAAACTATATATTTACAATTGAATCATTTAAATTTCAATCAAAGTCAATAATTTCAAAGACTAATTAAATTGACATTTAGTACTCCCATTAATAGTTTTTTCTTTGTTGAAAATTTATTAGTATAATAATAATTTAATTTATTTACATTATATTATGCATTGTACATATTTTTCCAATAATGAATTTCCGCTACAAAGAATAATGCAGTTTAATGAGTGCACTCCAAATCACGATCTTTAGGTTCTCAAGTGCCTTGGACGAATATCCGAGTAACAGGTGGGGGTATTAAAATGTGAAATTTTATAAATAGACTTGTTCATCCTAAAGTGCTTAGAAATGAGGAAATTCGGAGATGAAGCTCCTGAGCGAGGGCCTCCTCTTCACCTGCAGAGGAGGCGGTAGAAGTCCCGCCGGTATGAAATCCCTTACGCGCGTCCTCGGCCTCCTGGTCGTCAGGCTCACGGTGACGGTGTCCGTCAAGAATGGGCTGCATTGAGAGGCGCACACCTCGTCCCTGAGTACCGCATCCTGACCGGCTTCACGCAGGAGCCGCCCACAGTCAGTTACTCTCAACGATGCACATTGAGGCTAGAAAAAAATTGCAATTTAGCACGATTGATTTTACAAAGGACAAAATTTCACAAGATCAAAGTAATTTTCCCTGTCTATAAACAAGGGGTGTAATAAGAATAATATAACAAATGGGAATAAGAATAATGTTAAAAAAATAGAGAAATAGTTGTTATGTAGTTTAATTTTATGAATATAATTAATTTAATTTAATGTAATAATTATTTCTTACGCCTTCTGAAGTGCATATACAGCTTGTGCATGGTGTCGGGATTGCGGATTCTCCGACGGGCACTGACCTGCCTGCAATTTGGCACCCTTTTTGAACCGTTTCTCTCCAAGCTTTCAAGTCAATCGATGGCAGTGAGTGGCAGGATACCCTTGGATTTCTACAATAACAATATTATTAGGCGATTGAGTAATCTTTAAAAATGGAACAGAAAAGACAAATTACAAAAAGTCTGAGGGCTGGTCAAAAACTGATCTCTGAATTTCAGAAGGCACGTCTAAATTGTCACACACAACTTTGCTCAGTGTCGTTTTACGGATCTCTGCAAGTTGGGCTTCAGTGAACCTCACAACTGCATCTTCATTTTCATACCTTTAAAAAAATTAAAAATTATTTTTTAAAATAAAATATCATTATTCAACGATGAATAAGAAAGAATAAATGCATACCAGAATCTATCGCATTTTCTAAGTTGTCTAAATTGCAAGCCGATGATACATGCAAAAGTCGGGCCTACAAGACCACCTTGAAGTGGGCGTTCGCTCAAACCACCAGGGAAAAGATCGATGTCGTTCACAGTCGGGTAGATGACCTTAAGTCGTTTGATGACTTCCATTGGAATCTCACGGCTCAGGTCTTCCCAAGATGTGGCCCTTTTAAGGTTGCACAGCGAACGGTATTCGTTATAAGGAGGGATCCCATGGTCTCTCGCTGTTAATTTATTAATTTAAACCGTATTACTGGAAAAAAAAGAAAAGAATTTATGGTTTTACCTCTTTGGATGTTCAAGGCTGGGAGGTCCATTCCGGAGTGTGGTATCCTTCGGTCCTCGAACAAATGATTGCTGATCTCTCCTGTTATAAATTGGTCTAGACTTTCCATTGGGGTCGCTGAAAGTCCCCTCATTATCTCATCAATCATATGAGGCTTTAAACATATAATAAATATTTAATGATCATTAAAAAAATAATGTTACAAAATTTATGAGCTAAGTCAAGAATTTAAAAAATAAATTTACTTTTTCTTTTTGAGAGGGATGAAAATTATTTATAGAATCCACAAAGCCAAGTATAAAGTTACAAAATAAGTTAAATTACTGAAATTTAGTCATTACCAATAATTTTTGTCTGCCTATCCTTGCGGGGTTGGGCTGTCAGACATTTTTCAGCATTTCACCTTCTTCTTTGTGTCTTTCATCAGACTGAAGATGGTAAAATACAGAAATAACCTGACAAACCCAGGGGGATTCTAAAGACTAAAATGATCGGTAACGACCAAATTTCATGTTCAACACTCCGCAGACAAAATGGAGAAATTCCAAAATGTAAAAAATAACTATTCGGTGTCATAAATATTTACCTGATAAATGATGTCTGGATTAAAGAATGTATTTCTAAGAAGAATTGACGGTTCAACTGGAGTGAATGCTGGGCTCATTCTTGGCATATGCGGCCTCAACAGACTATGGCCGATTCTGTACGCTGCCGATGCAAATTCTGTTACAATATTTGGATTGCACGTCCTGCTATAACCTGGAAATTTATTTAATTCCCCAATTAAATCTTAATTTTATCATTGCAAATTTGTATTTTGGCTTAAGCGTTATGCCAAGTACCTTTGTAATATCCATGGTTTTGAAGTTTAAGCCCGTATAAATTGATTGCGTTCCATCCTAGAAGTCTAGGGAGAAATTCATTGTAAAGGACATGCTGGTAAGAAGCGATGGCTATTTTCCTGGCAGTTTGGTACAGTTTCTCATCGCCCCAATGCAAATTGATCTTTCTAAGCCCTTCCACAAGACGATTGTGCTCCCTCATGTACACCGTGTGAATTGATGTTAGCCCAGGCTGTTCACTCGCTCGTCCGTCACCTTTTTCCAATTAAAATATCTTATTTTAAAATACTAGTATGACTAGCTAGTTGTAATTACTTCTATAATTTTTAACTTAAAACAGGGAAAGCACCTGATAAATAAGAAATTTTCAGTCTGTAAATTGATAGATGTATAATGGCAAAATTGACTATGTTTAACATAAAACAACATACAAATATTCGTAAGTGTAAAAATATTCAAACTTACCTGCAATAAAACAGTACCCTGAAGGGGCTTTGCATTCTGGATGAATTGGGGAGACAGGTAAAAGGTCTTTTCCTCTTGTTGGATGAGTTGTCACATTCAGCCTACCCCCGTAACCTCGTAACTCACGGGCCAGACATGAATTTTCTCCGTAAACTTGTGAAGCATCGAGATAAGCTGAATTTTGGTTTATCTGTTCTCTTGGCCCTAAAATTAGTAACTTGTAAAATAATAGCTTATATGATTTTATTGATGTCATTACCTAGTTGCTGCTGACCAGGAAGAGATCTCATAAAAGAAAGACAAAACCGTTCCCCAGTGCTAATGTTCCTTTGTGGGAAGAAAGGGTCCCCAATCGGAACTGGAATCGGCATGCATTCCGGGTGAACGGTCAAAGCAGAATCGCACGACCTACAGTCCGGAATCGAGGCAAAAAATCCTAGAAAAAACATGACAGTTTAAACTTAGAAATTAAATTAAAAACAGTAATAATACCTCTGTGACTTGGTGTGAATGTAATATCGTGATCGACAAACTGAGCGAACTGCATGAGCATTAATGTATATCTTTTGTGAAGATAGGAGATGTCTGCATGTATCATAGATGAAACCAGTCTTGCAGAAGGAAGTGGCGCTCCAGTTACAGATGTCGATCTCGGACTTGAAATGCCTGGAAATTAAAATTAAATTCTATTAAACCGGTTTTTTGTTACAGCAATGATCCTTACCGTTTTCATAAACTGACGGCAGCAGCCTGGCAAAAGTAGTCAAACTTCTTCCGAGTCTAGGCCTTTCTAGATTGTTACATTGTCCGGTGAAACTCCTGTATGGTGATCTCGGGTCACATGGACCATTTTCTTCATGACATTCTGGTTCCTCGTGTCTGATAGAAGGGGGAAATAGATCGGTAATGTCCAAATCGGAGAATACATCCTTTACAGACAGGTCAAATCCAATCACATTATCCCCATCCAATTGTCTTCGTCTCCTCTGTCTATAATAAATAAAAAATTAAATTATGAAATATAAAAACGATTAAAATAAACATGTATAACATACTTTGCGACCATGAAGGCCATAAGTTCTTGAGAAGCGTATTCAAAAAGAACTGAATTGTTTGCCATGGTTAGGGCCATCCGGTTAGGTTTGCTGAATGCAGCAGCAGTTCCGATAGGTGATTTTGGATCCACTGTTCCGTCTACATATGAAAATTTTTATAATTCTGTTGTTTTTAACTAGAGAACAAAGTAATCATGGTATGCTTACGGTTTACATAAACAACATATTCCTGTCTCTGCCGCCTGGCTACATCTTCCTCGGCTTTTTTCAAGGCTTGCTTGACCAAATCCATCGTCAGAAGAGGGCCTTGCTCGTCAATTCGATTTTCTACATTTTTCCAAGCTATCAAATCCATTTTACTATGGTGGTCACATGACACTCCTGCATTCCTAGAAATAAAAATAATTTTAATTATACAGCTTGTATATATTTTAGATTTAGCAACTTTGTTTTACCAAAAATTTGGTTGCCACTGATCATTTTGAGGGTCTACTTGTACTCTGTCGCATTTTGCCATCTTCAGTGTGTTCGCCTGTTTGGCATTTCTGCTGTATTGCAACTCCAAGATGGCGAAATGCCAAAACACATCTGACAGATCAAGCCACCAACAAAATGATCAGTAACAACCAAATTTCAGGTCCATCACTGCAGAAAACATGGAGAAATCTCAAATTTAACTTTCTTTTAGTTTTCTGATATCCACAAATATTTTAAAGTTGAGAGTTACTTACAAAAAGGGATCTTCTTGGAGGAACACCTTAGGCTGAATACTGGGCAAGCTTTTTATATTTTGACAAATAAGTCCTCCTAGTGTTACTTTTCTCAATTCAGTCAATTGTTCTAGAATCGATGAACAACATTAATGATAAAAATACGCATGGGTATTTATGATTTATGAAACATACCTGATGAAAATGTGGCAGGAGGGAGATCATTTTCATACCAGAATCTATCATGAACTTTAAGCAAATTAAATTGCTTGGAAAGCAAGCATGCAAAAGTAGGACCGACGAGAGCACCGTGAAGAGGTGATTCGAGCATACCACCGATGAGTAAATCAATTTGAGAAACATCGCTAGAAATTTATTACAATATATAAATAATAAAATGTTTTTGAATTCAACATTCAAAAAATGTAAAATACCTGTAAAGTGTTGATAACAATTTTCTGTTTTCTTCTGAAACAAACAAGATCTGCGAAAAGTCAGATATGTATTCACCTGTGCATTCTTTTACTTGTTCGATATAGCTAGCAGCCTGGTTATGCCTAGATTGATCTAATATTTGGGATGCCGAAGGGTCTAAAAACAAATTTAACTGCACACTCATTCTGAATAATTAAAGAAAGCTTACTTACACCCTCTAAATTTGTTAAAGTTAAGGTTTGGCATTTTTGCAGGTGTTAGGAATGATGATTGAAGTATTCCCACAAACCCTGAATCGGACAAAGTGCCAGTCTCATTGGTAATACTCTACAGGAAATACATAATTAGCTTTAAAAATAAAAAAAAAAATTAAATTGAAAGAATTTAACTTACAAGATTTGGAGGGACGACTGAAGGAATGACATTAAGGGATGTGATAGCGGCTTCGTATATTGTACCAGCTTCGACTGAGCTTGAATAATCGTTGTGAAATCCTCTCGTCTTAAGTGGTAGCCCCCAATCATTCTATAAAAGGAAGTTTAAAAAAGTCAAGTAAATCGTTTGGTACATGAATACAGTTGTACGTACCTCTTGTAGGACAATCGGCAAAAATTCATTAAATGTAATGTGTTGTATTTGAGCTGACACTATTTTTCTCGTTTCTTCAAACAGAATGTCTTCTGGCCAAGCTCGGTTCAACTTGGTCAACTCGTCCACAATCCTGTTGTGCTCTTTGTAGAAGAGGCTGTAGAGAACTCCAATCCCAGAGCCAGACTGACATCTAAAAATTAAAAACAAAACAATTTATTAATAACGAGATTTGATTTTTATATATATTTTGATGTACAAATCGCATGCGTTGATGTTGATGTATCCATGATGGGATTTTATCCTGTCGACTTGCTCATCAGCCACACCATATATTGACGACGCGTCAAGGTATCCAGTAGCACCATTTAACAATCCCTCAGCTAAATATGATAAATTAAATCAATTTATATTTTAAATCTGTTTAGAAAAAAATAATTACGCATAAGAATGGGCTGCGATAAATCACGGGAGATCAGGTCAGCCCAAAGGCCCAATATTCCAGTGATATGATCATGATGCAACGGCTTATTGAGGGTGTTCAGTGTCTCAACAATCTTTGCACTATTTGGGAAATTTTTATCTGAAAAAGTGAATACAAACATTATAATTTAGAGGTAGAGAAAAGATAAAACTAGGAGGTTAAAATGTTTTATTGAACCCCAAATTTTGATGCCAGTGTCTATACTATAAACAAAATAAAAATGACTCATTGTCTTGTACAGTCAGTTTTGATCATTGTCCAGTACTCTTTTAAGATGACTGAAGTATCTGTTTAGTTCTTGTCTCATATGTGTGTGTGTTTTCTATGTGAGTTGTTTGTCAATGTATGTACATAGCGACTACATAGTTGGTGAGATTGGAATACCATTGCAGCAAATGTAGCAGTGGTTATTCTCTGACACTCTGACATGATCACATTTTTGTATGTTTATTGTCATCTTTCACTGCTTGAACCACCGGGGATATGACATGGGTTTCCAGGTTTCTGGTTGAGATAACGGGATCTTTATTAGAGCACAGTATGACAGTGTCATCCACTTAGGTGGTAAAATTAATTTCAGAAGGGTTAGGAATGTGCGTATGGTTTAGGGGATGATAGATAATGGTACCACTTCATTAGTGCTGATAGAGAGAGGAGGATGTCTTGAAAGTATCCGTTGGTTAGGTAGGATTTTAGGATCAGGTAGTAGATTAAAGTGAGGACTCTCTTAAGCTTCCTGAGCAATCCTGGGTTTCATACCCTATACACCAGAGTAACTCCTATTGTTCAAGATTCAATTCAACAATCAAATAGGATATGCAGTTTTATCATTTCAGTCTACCTTTTTTTAATTTAACTTTTTAAATTAAATTAAATTAAGTTGTTTTAAAATGAGGATATTTCAACTATGAGGTTATATAAACCCTTGGGGTGCCGGCACTTTGGAAAAAAGGCCTGTTTGTATGTCGGCTTCAAAAACTAGGCCCTGGATTCGAATCCAGGTTCTTTTATCTTACAGTGATGAGCACTGTGTCAATGCCTACCATTGCCGTCTTGAAAGGTTGGTTTTGCATTTTTGTTTGTATTTATATCTTTGTTGGTTTGAACAAAAAATGACTATTAAACCACTGAACTACAGGTTCATCACCTCATAAACTACATGAAAAAATCTTACAATTAAAATAATAAAATATTAATTTTTTTATATCAATTAAATATTCTTTTTATGTAAGGTCTTGATTGAAATGAAAAAGATAGTGTCACAAGTCGAAGGTTGTGGGTTTGAATCCCACTCTAAGTCCTTAGATAAAAAGAATATTTAGTTTAAATAATTAATATGGTCAATTATGGCCGCTAAACATATATGGATTATTTTAATGCTTGTTGTGTGAGTATTCTTATTATATTTTCCTTGTGTTTTCAAATTGACTAGGTGGACTTTTTTACAGAAGTTTGGAAATGTATATTTAAATGATAGATTTCCTATGTATATGTTATATTTAATTTACTGATATAATAAATTTTTGTCCATTTCCATCATTAAAAGTTATTTTATCATTTTGATTTGTCACTATCAATTGGGTTTGTTTGTAAGTTTTACATTCTAAAATTTTTTTTTTCTTGAATGAAAATGATAACTTCTTTGATATGCTGGTTATTTTTTCTAGAAATAGAAATTCTTTAACCAATGTTGGTTGTAACAATTTTGTATTAAAATTGATTATGAAATTATATTTAATGGTAAAAGTTAGCAATAGAAAGAGAATAGAAATAGAAAGATTGGTAGATAAATAAATATTATCTTGATGTGATTCATATTACAACAATACAAATTACAATTATAAATAAAACAGGACCAGGGATAAGAAAAATTTGAAAGAAAAATAAATGTTCATTTCCTTTGCCAAGTTTTCTAGGAATCTTCATCAAGTCTTTGAAACTATTATTAATAATTCACAAGATTAACAAATATGAACAATATATTAGAAACAATAAGTTTCAGACTGTAAGTAGATGAAGAGAATATATTCCTTGAAAGCTTGACGAAAGAATTTAGTGCTTTATTTTCTTTCAATTCAAATTAGCCTCATCCTTGATTTTTAATACAAAATCACTATGTTAAAGTTTGAGATTAATTATATCAATGTATTGATTGATACATGGTTGTGACACAATTTAAAAATTCTGCTGTGATTTGTAACAATTGGCTGAAAACTGTCTGTTCATTAAAATTTCTCTGAATTATATACACTGATGGACAACTTTAACGCACCACTCAATTTATTTGGTTTAAAATTAAATCCATTGCCTTTCTACGTTGGTTACAAGTAATTAGTCATAGTCATCATAGTCAAAATAAATAGTAAATATTGCTTGGTTTATTTCGTTTGTTTACTTTTGTACAGATCAATCCCATTTACACAAAAAGTAGCATTATGCCATTCTGCTATGCCTAAAGATCACTTTCAGTTAATCAATTTCATTTGATTTTATTCTTATTGTTAAACATTTTTCAATGGGTCCCGTCAGGCATTTGAGTGAGTATGACAGTGTCAGGGTCATAACATTATTAGAGGAAGGATACAGCCAGCTTGCAGTTGCCAGGAGACAGAGAGTAAATCACTGGACAATAAGAAGGGTTCTTTGGCGCTTCAGGGGTCAGGTCTTCACACTAGAAGGCCAGGACAGGGTCGACCTAGGTCTTGAGACGAGAGAGAGACGATAGATTTATCAATCATCAGGCTCTATGAAACCAAAGCATTATGGGAAATCAGATAAGAAATCTTATAAGAATAATTGTAATAACAGTGTTTTTCTATTTCATTTTCTTTTTAAATTCGTTTTACAACCAAACCGATTTTTGGTACGCAAAATATGAATAAACCTAAATACATTAATATTTAAGGGTGGTGTGTTAATTTTGTCCATCTGTGTATTTCTTGATAATACTGATTGTCGTACACCCATTCCAAATTTTGAAGATCGGCGAAAAGCATTTTCCATCTTTTTCCATATGCCAATTGAAGCATGTTCATGTTCTATGATTTGAGTATTCCCAAGTTTGGCTAAATTGATACAGACTGAAATTCAAGCTATTTTCGATTTAATTCAGTTTCAATAATGAACTTTTGAATAATGGGCTTTGAATCTAATACGTGAATAACTATAGACAAGAAAAATCAACGATACAGTTACGCACAACAGTGAAGCATTGCGGGTTTATCGTTTTTTTTTAACTTGAATATTTTAGTATTAAAACAACCAACTTTCACTCTTTAACTGTTGTGTCTAACTTAAGTCAAGTTTAAGTCAAATCAAGTTTAAAATTAAATGTATGAATTTTTGTAAATGCCTGAACATAAGCAGTAGTTACCAAGTTAAGTAGCCACAGACCTGGAAAGCTGGTTCAATTATTTCGAATATCTTTAATCAATCAGTAAATTAAAATTTCTAAAAAAAACAGCTTGTGGGTGGTCAGTTTTCGAGAAAATATTTAAATTTAGAAACAATTAACCTTACAAATTATATATTTAATCTCAAATTTCACTATTGAGAAAAGGGTGGTTTTCGTGCTTTTTTAAAATTTACTAGATGTCAATGGTTCTGGCCAGGCTCCAGAGTCTACATCGCCTTTTTTGAATTTGTCGTGAATGGATTAAATAAATTACAACCAGAAACCGGACCAGTGACAGGTCGCAGTTATGCAACTTAGACCAATATGTAAAAAACCTATTATTTTTTATGCCATGGAACCCAGAATCCGTAGAGATGATTTATGCTATTTTCAGAGTGAAAGTAATTTTCAAGGTAGAATCTTTATACACTCCTCCACAAAAAAAGTGGCGCACTTTGAAATTTTTTCTTATGAATTGGACAATGTGGATATATTTTTTGTTTTACTTCTTTAAGATGATTTAATAATTATAATTAGATGGAAAGTAATTGTTTTTGTCGCCGATTGTAAGGCAAATCGGTTAATTCCTGATTTGATTTAAAATCTCCACAATGTACATACAGGGGTCATATAGCCACAAAGGCAATAAATTCTGTATTTATTTACTATTGTGCTGGTGGCACAAAACAGCGATTTCAAAAATTCCAATTATTGCCGAGTTGCCAGTGCCGTTGCACTCGTTGGGGTTGGAGGAAATCAGCGTTGCCAAAGTTTAAGATTGCCCTAAAATTACGGTTGTTGGGCATTAGGCAAGATGTATTCAGAAACCAGGATCGGGAGGCCTAAAATCCAAGGGCCCAGCTGGCTTCATCACTCTGAGACATCACTTATGAAACGTCTCACTGTCTTCGAACTGTGTCCGTTAGCGCTGAAAAAGTAAGTAGGAGAATTGCAGATATGAGTCTACATCCGAGAAAGTCAGCAACTGGTCCAGCGCTTACCAGAGACATTGTCGGGGCCACTTAGAGTTTGCAAGGAACACCGACATTGGACAGAAACAGTAATGAAGGAATATTATGGTTTCAAACGAGTTCCAGTTTCTTCTCCATCTCCACCAGACGGCTTCAAGTTTATTGAGCAGCTGTAGAGTCTACGACTAATGTAACGTTGCCGGAAGATGTTCGTTCGGAGGTGATTCAGTTAAATAGGTCGTCATACAATGAAGAAATCTCCGTGGCATAAATTCTTGATGATTAGGCCATTTGCTCTTGTTATTGGCAAGAAAATTTTGTTTATGCAAAATAATGCAAGACCAACCGTCGCCACCAGTGTTATGCAGTACCTTCGAGATGACAATATTTGCACTCTTCGAGGCCAGCCTGTATTTGAACCCCATTGAGTACTTTTGGGCAGAGCTTGAACGTTGGGTACAACGAAGAAATAAATCTCCTACAAACCTTAGCCGAGTTTCGTGTTAAATTAGTAGAGATTTGGATGAAATTCCTCAAGAAATGATTAAAGGCTTAGTTATGAGTATGGTGAGAAGATTAGAGAGTGTAATAAGAGCCAAAGGAGGAAATAAAACCTATTAAATACCTTTAAGTTTGTTTTATGTTCAAGTATGTTCATACTCAAAAGTGATTTTTTTAAATTAAATTTTTGGCTTTTGAGAGATATTTTTATTTTTACACTCACCAAATCTTTT